CTAAAGCCTCTTCTGTTGAAACAATTCATCAACTATTTTATAAGAAAATACAAGTGCTATCACTCTCACTTGGGGACAAATAAAGAATTACAATAAATAAATAGATCAGAAAATTCAAGTGTCCCATTCTGCCCAGTGACCCATTTCTCCCTTGTCTTCCCAATATATTATACAGTGTATTAATTTATGACTAAACTTCACTCGTACCAACTGTAAAAATGGCTGTATGATAATATTTTTTTTACGGTAACTCGACATGTGGGCGATCTGCCGAGAGGGGATGCCTCCCGGGAGAACTTTCTATGGGAAACTGGCCCATATTTAGGTATTAAATTAAAAGATTTTTTTAATTATTCATTTTAACTGGTACGTTATACGAGTTATATTATTTACTATACTCCATTATTACGAATTATATTTGTAGACATGGGAATTTTTAAAGATTTTCCAAGCCACATTTTTCCAGTAAACGATGGTGCTTCGGCGGCGTTACTAATTTTAATAACATTTGCTGGAATTTTGATACTGTTATTAATGGCACTCTTCATAAGGTAAGTATCGAATTCTTAAATAATTTTAAATAAATTCGAGCATAAATTATTTTTAAAATATTCATTAGGTTTGCTCTTAAAATTAATTCGAACAAAGAAATTACAAGATTGCTTATCAGGCACGACGATTCTTATAATAAATTTCCATATTGGATCCAAATAGATAATCCATCATCGTATGAAGTGTGACGAAACATTCAAATACGTAAAAAGAAAGTTATTCTGTATATTTTAATGTGTAATTAAAAGTAAACAATTTTTAAATATATAATCGCCATAATTTCTTCATAGATTAGAATTCCCGTATTTATGGTTTGAAATACTGTATATCATTGTAATGTCTAAAAATATCCTAAAAGTTTGTTATTCAAAAGCAATACTGTATTAATATATTATTATAGGTATATTACAAGTAAAATTGAAATACAGTATGGTCGCGCTAATCCGAACTGAGCCCAGTTCGGATTAGCGCGGATACGATAGTAAATATATGATGCCTATGCTTTGAGGCCAGTTTATTACTGTTGTAAGATACTTAACAATAATTCTAACCTCTATTAGCTGCTATTAGCTGAGTCAACAATGCTCACAACACGTGACTTAACGCTTACTTTACAAGTGAGCTGCAAGTGTACAGTTATCTTAAGAGAAACTCTTATAATCCGAACAGCTACTGTTCGGATTACAAGGGTTTGGATTAACGCGACCACACTGTATTGAAATATTTACGTTAGGATTCTCTTCTATTTTAATTCTTGACTACTTATCGATGTATTCTAAAATTACAGAAATTCAAGAAAATATTCCAGAAAAATATTTTATAAATGATTTTTTTAATGTTCATCTTCTCATTTGTTGTTTTAATTGAATTTATTCCAACATATTCTACAATCCTTTCTTAAAAATGGAAAATTTCGCATAAACCTAAACATCCTTAAATTACAATTACTTAAGGAATGATGCCATAAAATTTTTTATAAATTAGGCAATTTAATTTTCTTAAATATAAATTATGATTAAATACTGTATTACGATGCCGCCGCCAAATAGCTTATCCACAGGGATTATAATTAGCATTACATACTAAATAACTTTACAGAAATAACATGTAGATAATTGTTAGTCGTCTAGGTACAAATTTCTTTAAAACAAAAAAAAAAAAAGTTGATTTCAAATAAAATTTGGCAGTCGTAACAGATTTTCTCCCGCGTACCCCACGGAATTTGTGCTCTCTCTCATATAACATAGAACCTTCACATTTTTTGCCAGCAAAAAATTTTATAGTCACATTTATATATGCTAATCACAACGATGGCTACTTTAATTAATTAGTCGTAAATTGAGCATTTAAGTCAATATATAACTTATTGAGCTAAAATTTATATATTTTATAATTAGTGAAATCTAAAAGTTTAAATTATCTTTCCAAAAATATAATTTTAACATTGAATACACAAAGTATTCTAATAAAACTTTATTTATACAAAGATATCTGTAACAAATGTCATTGAAATTTAATTAATATGCTTACAGAATGGAATTACAATCAATCTAAAAAAATAATAAAACTTACAAAATTAAATTGTATATATTAATTAGAATTACTAAAAAAAAGCCTTACAATTAGAATACAAACTATAAACAGTACTTAAAATATAATTTACATAAAAGTCAATAAACTACATTAATTTTGTGAAATTAATTTATTTAACAATTATTTCATAACAATTTTCTCATATTACATATATATATGCACCAATAATAGAGACTACAAGTACAAAATAGACAATGTACTCTAACTCTGTACAATTTAAAACATAATATTGCCTATACACTGTACAGAGAAAATAAAACATACATTATTTCCATACACAACATGATTTTAAATAGAATACAGTATCAAATTTTAAAAGTATTATTTATTTTTTTTTATGTAAAATACAGTAAAGTATGGAAAATAAAACACAGTTTCTCAAAAAGTTTTTGGTTCCTCATTCCAAATGCCATATATATTAAATTATACAATACTCTTTTGAATAATGGAAGTACGGTATTTATTAATTCCTTTGTGTTAACTAAATGAACTGTGTTACAATTCATTTACAGTGATTCTTTATTGCTTTGTATATGTAATACAAATAGAAATAACAACTGTTCTGTAAAATCTGTTAAAATTTTAATGTAATTAGACACAGATTTACTATAATTAATCAGTATATTTTTAATAAACGATAATAATAATTATTATTTTTTTAATCAAATTTTTGGAAGAACATTGATAAATTTATCCAATAAGACAAGTTGGATATAAATATACATATAACAAATATGTCATGTAATATAGAATTAACATTTACTTATTTATTTTTATTAAAATTAATTTGCTTATTATCTTAAAAAAAACAGGTTTTCTTCTGTAGTAATAAATTTATGAAAAATTAGGAATTAATATTATTGATTTTTACTAGTTATTAGCTTATATTATATTAAACTGAATGATGCTATAAAATTTTTCAATCATTTTTCAAATTATCTTACTCCATCATTTTAAAAATAATATTTACATGCATATTTTATATTAAATATCAAAAACTCTAAATATATTTAAACAAAATTCTTAAATGGAAACATATATACATATATAACTGAAAATAAAAAAATATAAATTACTGTATATACTGTATTATCAATTAACAATATATTTTAATGTATGCTACTTAATACCAATGGCAGGAACAAATACTATGAGATAATATTAACAATTTAAAGTGATATTTTGTTTTATAAATAAATTAAAATAAAGGCAAATTTTAAACAAATTTCTGAAATTTGTCTAAGAAATGAATACCTGGATTACAAACAAGGGCTTATGTCTAGATACTTACACCACAGTTTAAATTTTTTTTCAAAAAATAAGGAAATTAAATTTCTGCATTCAAACTCACTTTCCCAAAAATATGATTGCAAATCTTTTAAAATAATGAATAATGATCTTTATATGTTAAATATATTGTGTACAAAAATAATACAAAATAAAAACTAACAGAAAAAGTACTGATAATATAAATATTGAAAAAACTTCCTTGGAAAGTATATGAGGATAGAAATATTGTTTTAAATACTTCAAGAGAAAATATATAATTCTTAAATATTACAAAATATGTTACTGGAGCAGTTTGTTTCATTGAGGATTACATTTTTATTGAGCAAAACAAATCAATGAAACATTACAAAATTTGGCACCAATCATTCTTATTTTAATAAGTGCTAACTAACATCACTAAATATTGTTTATTTGAATAAACTTTTTTTGGTCAGATTTAGAAATAATCAGAATTTAGTATTATTATTAAAGATTTAATTTCACCAATTACTCTGACTGAAAAAATCTTTTTGAATAAATGATTTTTGATATTATAAAGTTAGCGTTGTCTTATAGGAAATCACAGTAAACTTTTTAAAATATGATTACTAAAATAAACATTAAAGCATGACTAAATTTCTGCTTTCTTCTAAAAGAAACGGGAAAGTGCAACCTTTAATAATTATTAAAGTATTTTCTAATAATACTTTATTTATCAGAATAATTAAAGGGAAAATTAGATTTGTTTCAAATCATTCATTCAGAGAAAACTTTACAATTGTAAAACTTTATATATATATATATATATTTTATTTGCATATTTATTATAGTATTTCAAATATTATTATTTTGTAACTTTTAAAAGAATAATTCAGTTTTTACATACTGAAATCTGCAAAAAATATAATGAATTATTTCTTTTAAAAGTTTGTTTTTTTGTTTGTTAAGTACTATTTTTATACAGATAACCTGAAACTGTATGTAATCAGCAAGTTAAAAAACTGCTACAACCAAAACAAAATTTTCATGTAATCCCCATTTCTGAAGTAGTACAGAAATGGGGATTACACGAAGATTTTGTTGGATCCACCTAGGGAATGAGCAGAATATATGTATTATAATTAGTAACAGAAATCATTAAGGAGAGTCGATTAAAAGAAATTTAAATTTACATTGTAATTAATCATATTATTGCTAAGAATAGCTAAGATAAAACAATTACAACATACAGGCAGAAAAATAGTAAAGTATGATGATCTGATAAGACTTTAATAACCAAGGAATGAGAATGAATGCTTTATCAAGATTGTGAATACTTGTATTGTGTGTCTGTATCCAATTTTCTGCTTATTTTTCTGAAACAGATTAAAAAATGCAAAAATTAATTAGAAATTATGCATTTCATCTTTTTCAACTGATCAAGAGAAATAATAAATTATTCTATATATATATATATTTCATTTTTACTGGATATTTTTACTGGATATATATATTTCATATTTCACTGGATATTTCATTTATATATATATATATATATAAAAATAAAATATCCAGTAAGAAATACTAAATTTGTAACTTTTCCTGTCATTATTAATTCTTTTGCTTTTTATAAAAACATTTTAATTTTGGGAACATTTAAAAATATACAAATACTTGTTTTTACAGGTATTATGATGTAATGATTTTCTATTTTAAGGTTTATTTTTATATAATAATATAAAACTAAATAGAAGCATTTATATTTTAAGTGTTGTATAAAAATATTCTCTTGTGTGATTTAAACATTTATGCTCTATGTATAAAATGGTAGATTTCTATAACTTGTCTGGTCACAAAGTAATTAAACTTGTTTTAACATATATGATGTAATAATTAAAAAAATATATTTAATTTTTATCAAACTGTATTTAAAAGTTAAAAAATACATTTAATTTTATAATGAAAAATTGTTAGTGCAAGAGATGGTGCCAAATTATTTTATGTGAAAAATTTATTCGTGACCAACGGGGACAACACTAGGTGTTTGAGCACTCCCAGGAAGAGTCATTTAAAATACACTCTAGTGCCCTTTCTCAATTTTTTGAACATAGAAGGGTGCTATCACTTACTGGTGCTCTGTTGCTTTGCTTACCTTGCTTACTGCCCAGAAGAACAAATGTCTATTTTCATTTGCATTTTATTTCAATTATTCTTCTTTTGTATACTGGTTTAAATAATATACAAACTAATAACAATATTTTAATAGTAACTTGAACAATTCCTATTTCAAGCTTGTGATGTTTGCTTACATGATATATAATAAACCTGTTCTATATACAAAGTTACAAATCGATATTAGAATGAAGACATCTAATAAGGCAATCAACTCTATTTTCTTGGTTATTACGCTGTCATTTAGTGCTGTTCCTATAGAATGATTTCAAAAACAGTAATTTTCAAAGTACTGTATACAGTTATTCCTGCATTAAATTACAAATAGTAAATAGGAAAATTGGTAAAAAAATACAAATAGTCCTGCATTAAATTACAAATAGTAAATAGGAAAATTGGTAAAAAAAATACAAATATTAATTTCATTGCAATAATAATGTTAATAAGAACATCCAAAATCTGAACTGAAATTTAATAGAAAAATTCAAATTATGGATAAAGAAACTAATACTGGGTAAAAAGAATTTAATATTTTATTCTAATTTAAAAACAATTAAATGCTGAAAAACAGGAATATCAATATAAATCATAATAAATATAAAATAACACATGCATAGCTGAAAATGAGAATAAAATTAATATATATAAAAATATAATTTTTTGGATTAATATCTTATGAAACTTTTGTATAAGTGACTATCTTTATAAGTTAATTTATCTATTTATACTGCAGAAATTGCTGATTTGCAACTGTATTTTGTAACTAATAAAAGGAAAAAACAAAGTCCTTAACTTAAATTTGAAAATTATCAAATTTTCTTGCATTATTTTCATAATATAGAGATCATTTAATAAATTGCATTTTTATTAACAAATAATTTTTTAAATTAAATTCTTGAAAGACTTTTTTATACATAAGAACATTTAACTTCTATTTCTAAAATTACTGCTACATAATAAAAATACCAATTTGATCAGCAAGATAATAGTTCAATTGTCACAAAAATTACAATATATATTCTTTGATTTTAAGAGAGATTTGACTGTGGTCTATTTAGATACAAGCCCTTTATTTTATACATATTTGAAAGATGACATAAATTAAATTTATAAATAATGCAAAACCTCATAAAATTAATTATTGTCATATTAATGTACTTTTATTTATTATTACTGAAGAAAACTAGTTTTTAGATATTTTAAATATATAAAAATGCCAATTTTGATTAATTTAACATAAATTTTATTCATGATACTGCTATATACGTAGTATACACACATTATATACAAAAATTTCTAATATATTATTATTTCTAAGGCACTAATATTGTAAGCTACTTTGTAGCTATGAGTGAGAAATAGTTCTTAAAAAGTTTAATTTCTTTTTAATATTTTGTTAGTATTTAAGAGAATACTTTTTCAATTTTGTTTTTAATAATAATATAGCTATTAAATCTGATTAAATTTATTTCTAAAAATAAATTAAAATTTTTTTATATTGCTTACTTTATGAATTTTTATCCATCTTAATGGAAAATTATTTTTACACCACTTCTACTTAAATTAAAAACCTTGGTTTGCTTTCTCAGAAACAAATGTTCTTTCTTTAGAATTTATTTTATAAATATAGCTTATCAGACATATTAAATTAATATTTTGAATAAAATTTTATTAACTAATACAATGTGTAATAGTATAGATTCAATATACATATTACTGATGTAATCTATTTTGTAGGCAAAAATGCTCAAATGTAAAATTAATTTTAAAGTAAGAAATACAAAGAAATAAATATGAAAAATTGAAAGAAAAATTATATAAAAATATAGTTATGTTTACATTAAATATTTAAAAAATGTAGTGGTGGAAATTTCAAAAATTAATTATATTAAAAAGAATTTTTGAAAGCAAATAAATTATTTTTGTCTTTGTAGATATTTTTATTATTAGATTACAGCAGCAGCTCCATATCCATGCATTCTTTATTTGCACATTTCATGGCCTTTTTTTATATTCATAAAACCAAAATTCACTTATTTACAGATGGAAGAAAAATGATAGAATAAATGATAAACAAAAATAAGTCACATTTGCAATTCATTGACTAACACTGGGCTAGTTGATACTGTTCATGATTTCTCACATCAGTTTAGCACATGCACTTATGTGGGCAGTAAACACAATGTTTTATGTGTGAATGTCAGCATTATTACTTGCAGATTTTAATGTTTTCTATTGTCCTCACAAATCAACAATATGTCAATAGAAGATTCTAATAGTTTAGTATTTTATCAAAAAGGACAAGAAAAATGTTCCTCAAAAATAAAATTAAAGTGCTAGATTATTTGTTGGAAGGAAAACTGGCTATGGTTGTTTACACTCTCATCATAAATGAATCTACCATAAGAAACATTAAGAAAAAATAAGTACTGTATTAGAAATATAGCAGCATATTCCTTCATATAAAAACGCTTTTATTTTTTGATCACATATTTTTTCAATCTCCTAACCTTATTTTTCAAAGCATTACTCTGTTCTGTATTCGTATTTTCCATATTTGTGACAATTTTGTAGAGTATAACCCCTGTGAATATGTAGCTTAAACTATATTATATTTATATACATTTTCAAAACTGAAATTCTTGCAAAATAGTATTTTCAGCACAGAAATTTCTGAATCTATTCACTGCAAAATTTAAAGTAGCCAACAATAAACGTCAATTATGCTGGCAGCAATCATTATATACTCTCATATTTTTCAATAATAAAGCAATATCAAGTTATAAAATTTTGTAGAAGTGTTAGTCTGTATATTATTATTGTAGAGAAAACTGCACATAGAATTGCATACAATATGTAATTTTTGTGAAATGCAATATACATTGTATACAAAATTGTATATACTTGCATACTGCTGATGTTTAAAAATATGTGGTCATCTTATAATAAATTTATATGTATATATATATGATTTATGGTAAAAAATAATAGTATTAACTAGCTAATTATATAAAGAATAAAGAAGTTATAAAAAGGAACTAAAGTTAACTAAAATCTCTTATTTATATATATTAAATATTTATAAAATTTCCAATATTTTATTGTTTATAATAAACAATAAAAATTTTATAGAAAATATGATAGAGTTTAAATGGAACCAATTTGATTTCAAATATAAAAATTATGAAAATCTTTCTCTATAAAACTATGAATTTTCCAGTACTACTGAATGAATTTTTTTTTATCAATGTCAGTACTGAAAAAATGTTTAATTTATAAAGTACTAATAGATTAAGACAAATAAATAAATATTTGAAATATATTAGCTAGATATAGCAGGTTGAAAGCCAACTGGAGCACTAAGTAAACCTAATCGTTGTTTTTGTTTCCTTTGCTCTGTCATCTATATAAAATAAAATAAATATTAATTCAAATTTAAACATTTAATATATATATTTTTTAAATGTTGAAATGAATAAAATGTTTACTCACTTGGTCTCTTAGTTCAGCTAACTGTTGAGAAAGAGTGTGAACTAACTTTTGAGTGTTAATTAACTGATTCATCATTGTCCTTGTTTCATTTTGTTCAGAATCAGTTTCATTAGCTGCAAGAGACATTGCTCTCATGCGAGGAAACCAATCCAAATTCCTATCCTAGAATAAAGAATTATTGTATTATTAGTCTGTTACAGTTATGAATAAACTCTCAAAAATCCAGTCAATTAAATATAACTTTTTTCTAATTTAATATAATTAATATAATAATTGATTTTAAAATTCACTAATTATTATTTTTAATCATCAGTGACTATAAATTTGATTAAAAAAACTTTTAAAAAAATGTCCATAAGATTTAATTTAGAGAACTTTTTAAATCACATTTTTTTTATCAGTGATAATTCACTACAATAATATTTCCTGGAGTTTTGAGATTTTATTTAATTTTATAAAAAGTTTAATCTACTAACTGCAATCATTGTTGCAACATAGCTTTCAGGACCAGTAAATTCAGTTGGATCCTTGACTTTTACTAGGACAACAAAATATAAATAATGCCACATGTTATGTTCACAATGAATATGTTCCTCAAATGAAACACTTTTATTATCAAATGAAGATCTTTCCAAACCTATTAATTAAAAATTAAGAATTAATTTCTATATAATAAATGATATTTTTAAATGATTGAAAAATTTTTAGATGTCTTCATAAAGATTTATAAAATTTATTTTCAAAAGATTATGCTACTTACCACAAATAAAACATGAATTTTTTAATATCTCTTCTTTTTGCTGTTTTTCACTTCTAAGATCAGCAAAAGTATCAATTATGACACCAAAAATAAGATTTAAGATGATAATAATAACAATGAAAAAAAACAGCATATCATATATCACTCTTGCTGCAAATAAAGGTTCCTGTAATATTAATACATATATTGATATTTACAAATTATTTACTACAAAGCCTAAAATTAATAAATTGTAATTTTTAATATGTCTACATATTTTCCTATACTCTATCATTCAATTCTAGGCATTAATTGTTCTAAATCTGAAAAAATGAAAATTCTGGTAATACTGGTTTTAAATGACAACACCAACAGGACTTCCAATGTGATTTTTGTGTCCAAAGATCATATTGAAAGTCATGATCAACCTAAAAAAATAAAATAGAAAAAAAAAATTCAATATTGATAATATAATTGATCATATAATTGATAAATTATATGGGTTCAAGAATCAATCACTCAGCTCTTATTCACTGTAAAGAACTAACATCAGATATAATTAACAGCTGACTTCTAAACAATTCTCTAAGCTATTAAGAAAAGGACTTGCCAGAAACTTATAAACTTTCAATACACAAGTTCAGGTAAGGGTGTCTAATAATATTAATTAAAGCATGAATTGATGCACAAAAAATGAATGGAAGGAAACTAAAGGTATTGTATATGCTTTTTGTGTATTTGTCTTTAATGGTATTGGAAAAAAAATCACATTTACAGATGAATTATATCTACAACATACAAATAATTTTTCATGTTTTTAAAAATACTTTTGATAAGTTCAGGCAAAATGATAGATGTTTGATAATTTTACAGTTTCAATTCAAAATTGGTAGATAATCTATACTTGCTTTCAAATTAATTTTTAAATACAGTTAATATGTGGGTTATCTATATTTACAGTTCTTTAAGTACTCATCTCAAGTATACATCACAAATATCTCAAGAGAGAAATTTTTAACTTATAATCAGTGCTATTCTTCTAAAAAATTACTGTTGGTGCACACATATGGTGACTGAACATATTGAATTGATTTTGCTCAGAAACTTGTTACTACATGCTAGTTACCAATATCTTTTTATGCTATCTGCTGGTAAGGCGGCATGCTCCAGCTGAAAAACAGCCCAGCTATAAATATAGAAATTTTATGTTTAAAATCGAACAAAATCAGTCTGTATAAGTATATGTGAAACTTAAAACATACTATTAAACTCACATGTTTTATTTATGTAAGACTCCATAAAGGCTAGTAAATATCTAACTAAAATCTGAATAATTTATCATCTGTGTGATGTGTAGAATAATATTAATTTGACATTATAAAAAAATGAATTTTAGAAATATTTTAAAATTGTTACATACAATTTATAAAAATATATTTTTTAAATCAAATATTCAATATTTGATTTCACTAACCTTTGCACTAGGAGCTCTTAATACATCTCCTATCCCTCCACCATTTCTAAGCCCTTGATTCAATGTAGTTACAATACACATTATGAGAGAATCACATGCTCTTTCCTTATCTTCACCACCACCATCATCATCTGATTTCATATCACTTACTATCAAACTTTCATTATTGGTGTCTAATTCTATATAAAAAATAAAATATTTATAAAACATTGCTTTTTTTAAAATTTAACAATTTTTTATAGAAAACTTAAGTGAGTATATAAAATTGTAAATTACAAATAATTTTCAAAATTTTAATGCTGCATACGGACAATAAGATACTATAAAAAATTTGGTAATTGTATCTTAAAAGTTTTTGAAATTATTTATGATAAGTTTTCTGGTGAGAACACTTGGTTCAGTCAAAAAGAAACTAGAATTATTTTCTTAGATTTTTGACAACATATCCTTGTCATAAACAGCTACCAATCAGTAGCTGTTTATGACAATGTGCAGTTAAAAATGCCTTCAAATGGGCCAAGAGATTTTATACAGGACAACAATTGGTACTGAACAATTCATGTAGTGGCAGACCAAAGTTGGTCATCACTGATGCTAACATTGCTGCTACAAATGCCTTGATCCAAAGTGACTGATTCATCACTGTCAATGGAGTTGCCAAATGTTTGCAGATTAGCATTATGTTTCGCATTTTCCAGTGTTTTGCTTGTCCCAGAATTCTGGGATATAAGTGAATTGTTTCCTGGGATCCTAGGATAGAATTAATTATTTTTAAGGTATACAAAATATCTTAGAATCAAATGATATAATTATTATTCATTTTTTTAAAAGTAATTTAATACGTTCTGCAACCTCCAAAATCATATTAATAATGCAGTGTAAGATATATATTAAAAATTAACTTTGAATTACATAGAAATTTTCACAAATAGAAAAAAATTTATTAAATTTAAGCAGTTTCCAGCAAAATTAAATTTTGTTGTAAGCAGTTTCCAGCAAAATTAAATTTTGCTGGAAACTGCTTACAACAACAACAACAACAACAAAAAAAGCTTTGAATTGAGTTGAAAATTTAAAAAAAAAATGAATTTAGATCAAACTTCTAACTTAAAAGGTAATTTTCGTTTTTTAAATAAAATATAATACAAAATATTATTGTAAATTTTTATAAGATTTTAAAAAGCAAAGATGGTCAATACTCTAATCACTTAATCTGATTCTTATTTTAGTAATGAAAAAAGTCTTGCTACCGAGAATGCCCTTTCCAATTCAATTGATGTGATTGGAATCACGTTTAATGCATTTAAGAGGAGACAGATATTATGTGTTTTTCACCTGTAGCCTGGAAGATTTCTAGTTTGTTTTCGAGATTGTAGTATTTCTTTTGTCTCTAGTATTCTTGATTTGTCTACCTTGACTGCTTTAATAGAAACATCATAGCCCAATAATTGGCCAGTTTAATAATTGGATTTATGAGGAAAACTGTAAGGAACCAAGTCCAAGCATTATTTTTATTTACTTTTATTTTTGCTTTTTATTATATTTTTGTTTGGGGCTTATGTTTTGTAAAGGACGAAGGTTTCCTCACCATTCACCTTAGAAACTTAAAAATAGAAGAGAAACCAACTCACCAACGAGAGAAAAGCGCCGTAGTAAAAACTCATGCACACTTGCACTCCCAAGCGGAAAAAAGTAAGTCCGCACCAAGAAATGGGGGGAGACCCCACAAGCACAACTTAGGGACTCGCTAAACCTTAAAGAATAAAAACATCCCGAAAATTGTCAAAAAGGATAATGTAAAAGGTTAGCGAGTATTGTCGGAAAAATAGGCTGCCAGACAAATAGAAAAAGTGTATTGTTAGCAAATAAGTATGTAAATGAGGGGAGTGATCACATTCAGAATTGTGATGTCACCTCACAGTAAAAGGACTGAACATCAAGTGAAGACGGACGAGGTGAGCTTCTGATAGCAACGAGCTTGGTGAGCTTCGTAGCAGTGAACGAGAGAGGTGTCCGATAGGATCAAATAGTTCCAAGGCAATTTTGAAGTTATTTGATTTGTGGATCGATGAATAGAGAAAGTCTTGAGAGTTGAGGAAATAGGTTCCTAGTATATTGAGGTGACAATTAGGATCTTTAATTCATAAGAATTATTGTACATAAATTAAGTCTTTGATTTTGTCGAATTCCAAAGGGGAATAGAATTAAGTTAGAAAATAGATTAATTTGAGTTTTGTCGGGTTGATTCTTATTGACTTTCATTAAATAAATTGTTATTTGAATTTTACTAAATTTTGTATATAGTTTATTATTAGAATTATTTATTAAATATTTGATTTGTTATTGACAAACTTTGTCATTATTTAATTTGGGTGCACGCTAAAAGTCCAGGCCTGGCACACTAAAGNTCTCATATTACATATATATATGCACCAATAATAGAGACTACAAGTACAAAATAGACAATGTACTCTAACTCTGTACAATTTAAAACATAATATTGCCTATACACTGTACAGAGAAAATAAAACATACATTATTTCCATACACAACATGATTTTAAATAGAATACAGTATCAAATTTTAAAAGTATTATTTATTTTTTTTTATGTAAAATACAGTAAAGTATGGAAAATAAAACACAGTTTCTCAAAAAGTTTTTGGTTCCTCATTCCAAATGCCATATATATTAAATTATACAATACTCTTTTGAATAATGGAAGTACGGTATTTATTAATTCCTTTGTGTTAACTAAATGAACTGTGTTACAATTCATTTACAGTGATTCTTTATTGCTTTGTATATGTAATACAAATAGAAATAACAACTGTTCTGTAAAATCTGTTAAAATTTTAATGTAATTAGACACAGATTTACTATAATTAATCAGTATATTTTTAATAAACGATAATAATAATTATTATTTTTTTAATCAAATTTTTGGAAGAACATTGATAAATTTATCCAATAAGACAAGTTGGATATAAATATACATATAACAAATATGTCATGTAATATAGAATTAACATTTACTTATTTATTTTTATTAAAATTAATTTGCTTATTATCTTAAAAAAAACAGGTTTTCTTCTGTAGTAATAAATTTATGAAAAATTAGGAATTAATATTATTGATTTTTACTAGTTATTAGCTTATATTATATTAAACTGAATGATGCTATAAAATTTTTCAATCATTTTTCAAATTATCTTACTCCATCATTTTAAAAATAATATTTACATGCATATTTTATATTAAATATCAAAAACTCTAAATATATTTAAACAAAATTCTTAAATGGAAACATATATACATATATAACTGAAAATAAAAAAATATAAATTACTGTATATACTGTATTATCAATTAACAATATATTTTAATGTATGCTACTTAATACCAATGGCAGGAACAAATACTATGAGATAATATTAACAATTTAAAGTGATATTTTGTTTTATAAATAAATTAAAATAAAGGCAAATTTTAAACAAATTTCTGAAATTTGTCTAAGAAATGAATACCTGGATTACAAACAAGGGCTTATGTCTAGATACTTACNTTAATTTTAAAGTAAGAAATACAAAGAAATAAATATGAAAAATTGAAAGAAAAATTATATAAAAATATAGTTATGTTTACATTAAATATTTAAAAAATGTAGTGGTGGAAATTTCAAAAATTAATTATATTAAAAAGAATTTTTGAAAGCAAATAAATTATTTTTGTCTTTGTAGATATTTTTATTATTAGATTACAGCAGCAGCTCCATATCCATGCATTCTTTATTTGCACATTTCATGGCCTTTTTTTATATTCATAAAACCAAAATTCACTTATTTACAGATGGAAGAAAAATGATAGAATAAATGATAAACAAAAATAAGTCACATTTGCAATTCATTGACTAACACTGGGCTAGTTGATACTGTTCATGATTTCTCACATCAGTTTAGCACATGCACTTATGTGGGCAGTAAACACAATGTTTTATGTGTGAATGTCAGCATTATTACTTGCAGATTTTAATGTTTTCTATTGTCCTCACAAATCAACAATATGTCAATAGAAGATTCTAATAGTTTAGTATTTTATCAAAAAGGACAAGAAAAATGTTCCTCAAAAATAAAATTAAAGTGCTAGATTATTTGTTGGAAGGAAAACTGGCTATGGTTGTTTACACTCTCATCATAAATGAATCTACCATAAGAAACATTAAGAAAAAATAAGTACTGTATTAGAAATATAGCAGCATATTCCTTCATATAAAAACGCTTTTATTTTTTGATCACATATTTTTTCAATCTCCTAACCTTATTTTTCAAAGCATTACTCTGTTCTGTATTCGTATTTTCCATATTTGTGACAATTTTGTAGAGTATAACCCCTGTGAATATGTAGCTTAAACTATATTATATTTATATACATTTTCAAAACTGAAATTCTTGCAAAATAGTATTTTCAGCACAGAAATTTCTGAATCTATTCACTGCAAAATTTAAAGTAGCCAACAATAAACGTCAATTATGCTGGCAGCAATCATTATATACTCTCATATTTTTCAATAATAAAGCAATATCAAGTTATAAAATTTTGTAGAAGTGTTAGATTTCTATAACTTGTCTGGTCACAAAGTAATTAAACTTGTTTTAACATATATGATGTAATAATTAAAAAAATATATTTAATTTTTATCAAACTGTATTTAAAAGTTAAAAAATACATTTAATTTTATAATGAAAAATTGTTAGTGCAAGAGATGGTGCCAAATTATTTTATGTGAAAAATTTATTCGTGACCAACGGGGACAACACTAGGTGTTTGAGCACTCCCAGGAAGAGTCATTTAAAATACACTCTAGTGCCCTTTCTCAATTTTTTGAACATAGAAGGGTGCTATCACTTACTGGTGCTCTGTTGCTTTGCTTACCTTGCTTACTGCCCAGAAGAACAAATGTCTATTTTCATTTGCATTTTATTTCAATTATTCTTCTTTTGTATACTGGTTTAAATAATATACAAACTAATAACAATATTTTAATAGTAACTTGAACAATTCCTATTTCAAGCTTGTGATGTTTGCTTACATGATATATAATAAACCTGTTCTATATACAAAGTTACAAATCGATATTAGAATGAAGACATCTAATAAGGCAATCAACTCTATTTTCTTGGTTATTACGCTGTCATTTAGTGCTGTTCCTATAGAATGATTTCAAAAACAGTAATTTTCAAAGTACTGTATACAGTTATTCCTGCATTAAATTACAAATAGTAAATAGGAAAATTGGTAAAAAAATACAAATAGTCCTGCATTAAATTACAAATAGTAAATAGGAAAATTGGAAAACTTCCTTGGAAAGTATATGAGGATAGAAATATTGTTTTAAATACTTCAAGAGAAAATATATAATTCTTAAATATTACAAAATATGTTACTGGAGCAGTTTGTTTCATTGAGGATTACATTTTTATTGAGCAAAACAAATCAATGAAACATTACAAAATTTGGCACCAATCATTCTTATTTTAATAAGTGCTAACTAACATCACTAAATATTGTTTATTTGAATAAACTTTTTTTGGTCAGATTTAGAAATAATCAGAATTTAGTATTATTATTAAAGATTTAATTTCACCAATTACTCTGACTGAAAAAATCTTTTTGAATAAATGATTTTTGATATTATAAAGTTAGCGTTGTCTTATAGGAAATCACAGTAAACTTTTTAAAATATGATTACTAAAATAAACATTAAAGCATGACTAAATTTCTGCTTTCTTCTAAAAGAAACGGGAAAGTGCAACCTTTAATAATTATTAAAGTATTTTCTAATAATACTTTATTTATCAGAATAATTAAAGGGAAAATTAGATTTGTTTCAAATCATTCATTCAGAGAAAACTTTACTATTGTAAAACTTTATATATATATATATTTTATTTGCATATTTATTATAGTATTTCAAATATTATTATTTTGTAACTTTTAAAAGAATAATTCAGTTTTTACATACTGAAATCTGCAAAAAATATAATGAATTATTTCTTTTAAAAGTTTGTTTTTTTGTTTGTTAAGTACTATTTTTATACAGATAACCTGAAACTGTATGTAATCAGCAAGTTAAAAAACTGCTACAACCAAAACAAAATTTTCATGTAATCCCCATTTCTGAAGTAGTACAGAAATGGGGATTACACGAAGATTTTGTTGGATCCACCTAGGGAATGAGCAGAATATATGTATTATAATTAGTAACAGAAATCATTAAGGAGAGTCGATTAAAAGAAATTTAAATTTACATTGTAATTAATCATATTATTGCTAAGAATAGCTAAGATAAAACAATTACAACATACAGGCAGAAAAATAGTAAAGTATGATGATCTGATAAGACTTTAATAACCAAGGAATGAGAATGAATGCTTTATCAAGATTGTGAATACTTGTATTGTGTGTCTGTATCCAATTTTCTGCTTATTTTTCTGAAACAGATTAAAAAATGCAAAAATTAATTAGAAATTATGCATTTCATCTTTTTCAACTGATCAAGAGAAATAATAAATTATTCTATATNACTCTTGCTGCAAATAAAGGTTCCTGTAATATTAATACATATATTGATATTTACAAATTATTTACTACAAAGCCTAAAATTAATAAATTGTAATTTTTAATATGTCTACATATTTTCCTATACTCTATCATTCAATTCTAGGCATTAATTGTTCTAAATCTGAAAAAATGAAAATTCTGGTAATACTGGTTTTAAATGACAACACCAACAGGACTTCCAATGTGATTTTTGTGTCCAAAGATCATATTGAAAGTCATGATCAACCTAAAAAAATAAAATAGAAAAAAAAAATTCAATATTGATAATATAATTGATCATATAATTGATAAATTATATGGGTTCAAGAATCAATCACTCAGCTCTTATTCACTGTAAAGAACTAACATCAGATATAATTAACAGCTGACTTCTAAACAATTCTCTAAGCTATTAAGAAAAGGACTTGCCAGAAACTTATAAACTTTCAATACACAAGTTCAGGTAAGGGTGTCTAATAATATTAATTAAAGCATGAATTGATGCACAAAAAATGAATGGAAGGAAACTAAAGGTATTGTATATGCTTTTTGTGTATTTGTCTTTAATGGTATTGGAAAAAAAATCACATTTACAGATGAATTATATCTACAACATACAAATAATTTTTCATGTTTTTAAAAATACTTTTGATAAGTTCAGGCAAAATGATAGATGTTTGATAATTTTACAGTTTCAATTCAAAATTGGTAGATAATCTATACTTGCTTTCAAATTAATTTTTAAATACAGTTAATATGTGGGTTATCTATATTTACAGTTCTTTAAGTACTCATCTCAAGTATACATCACAAATATCTCAAGAGAGAAATTTTTAACTTATAATCAGTGCTATTCTTCTAAAAAATTACTGTTGGTGCACACATATGGTGACTGAACATATTGAATTGATTTTGCTCAGAAACTTGTTACTACATGCTAGTTACCAATATCTTTTTATGCTATCTGCTGGTAAGGCGGCATGCTCCAGCTGAAAAACAGCCCAGCTATAAATATAGAAATTTTATGTTTAAAATCGAACAAAATCAGTCTGTATAAGTATATGTGAAACTTAAAACATACTATTAAACTCACATGTTTTATTTATGTAAGACTCCATAAAGGCTAGTAAATATCTAACTAAAATCTGAATAATTTATCATCTGTGTGATGTGTAGAATAATATTAATTTGACATTATAAAAAAATGAATTTTAGAAATATTTTAAAATTGTTACATACAATTTATAAAAATATATTTTTTAAATCAAATATTCAATATTTGATTTCACTAACCTTTGCACTAGGAGCTCTTAATACATCTCCTATCCCTCCACCATTTCTAAGCCCTTGATTCAATGTAGTTACAATACACATTATGAGAGAATCACATGCTCTTTCCTTATCTTCACCACCACCATCATCATCTGATTTCATATCACTTACTATCAAACTTTCATTATTGGTGTCTAATTCTATATAAAAAATAAAATATTTATAAAACATTGCTTTTTTTAAAATTTAACAATTTTTTATAGAAAACTTAAGTGAGTATATAAAATTGTAAATTACAAATAATTTTCAAAATTTTAATGCTGCATACGGACAATAAGATACTATAAAAAATTTGGTAATTGTATCTTAAAAGTTTTTGAAATTATTTATGATAAGTTTTCTGGTGAGAACACTTGGTTCAGTCAAAAAGAAACTAGAATTATTTTCTTAGATTTTTGACAACATATCCTTGTCATAAACAGCTACCAATCAGTAGCTGTTTATGACAATGTGCAGTTAAAAATGCCTTCAAATGGGCCAAGAGATTTTATACAGGACAACAATTGGTACTGAACAATTCATGTAGTGGCAGACCAAAGTTGGTCATCACTGATGCTAACATTGCTGCTACAAATGCCTTGATCCAAAGTGACTGATTCATCACTGTCAATGGAGTTGCCAAATGTTTGCAGATTAGCATTATGTTTCGCATTTTCCAGTGTTTTGCTTGTCCCAGAATTCTGGGATATAAGTGAATTGTTTCCTGGGATCCTAGGATAGAATTAATTATTTTTAAGGTATACAAAATATCTTAGAATCAAATGATATAATTATTATTCATTTTTTTAAAAGTAATTTAATACGTTCTGCAACCTCCAAAATCATATTAATAATGCAGTGTAAGATATATATTAAAAATTAACTTTGAATTACATAGAAATTTTCACAAATAGAAAAAAATTTATTAAATTTAAGCAGTTTCCAGCAAAATTAAATTTTGTTGTAAGCAGTTTCCAGCAAAATTAAATTTTGCTGGAAACTGCTTACAACAACAACAACAACAACAAAAAAAAGCTTTGAATTGAGTTGAAAATTTAAAAAAAAAATGAATTTAGATCAAACTTCTAACTTAAAAGGTAATTTTCGTTTTTTAAATAAAATATAATACAAAATATTATTGTAAATTTTTATAAGATTTTAAAAAGCAAAGATGGTCAATACTCTAATCACTTAATCTGATTCTTATTTTAGTAATGAAAAAAGTCTTGCTACCGAGAATGCCCTTTCCAATTCAATTGATGTGATTGGAATCACGTTTAATGCATTTAAGAGGAGACAGATATTATGTGTTTTTCACCTGTAGCCTGGAAGATTTCTAGTTTGTTTTCGAGATTGTAGTATTTCTTTTGTCTCTAGTATTCTTGATTTGTCTACCTTGACTGCTTTAATAGAAACATCATAGCCCAATAATTGGCCAGTTTAATAATTGGATTTATGAGGAAAACTGTAAGGAACCAAGTCCAAGCATTATTTTTATTTACTTTTATTTTTGCTTTTTATTATATTTTTGTTTGGGGCTTATGTTTTGTAAAGGACGAAGGTTTCCTCACCATTCACCTTAGAAACTTAAAAATAGAAGAGAAACCAACTCACCAACGAGAGAAAAGCGCCGTAGTAAAAACTCATGCACACTTGCACTCCCAAGCGGAAAAAAGTAAGTCCGCACCAAGAAATGGGGGAGACCCCACAAGCACAACTTAGGGACTCGCTAAACCTTAAAGAATAAAAACATCCCGAAAATTGTCAAAAAGGATAATGTAAAAGGTTAGCGAGTATTGTCGGAAAAATAGGCTGCCAGACAAATAGAAAAAGTGTATTGTTAGCAAATAAGTATGTAAATGAGGGGAGTGATCACATTCAGAATTGTGATGTCACCTCACAGTAAAAGGACTGAACATCAAGTGAAGACGGACGAGGTGAGCTTCTGATAGCAACGAGCTTGGTGAGCTTCGTAGCANTGAGAAATGCTTAGAAATATTCTTAGGGAAGCTTTCTATAAATCTCACACTTTGTGTCTTTATCATACATTGTCCTCCACATCTAGAAACCATTTAACACAATGTTTCTTCTTACTCATTTAAACAGAGGAAAGGGAAAGGTTGTCAGTAGCTCCAACCATCTCCTATTGGTACATGTTTTCGAAAGGGAGACCTATAAGGACTAAAATTTCACTTCTACTTTCAGTGAGTGCTGTTTTTTTTTTAAATTGTTATTTGAATTTTACTAAATTTTGTATATAGTTTATTATTAGAATTATTTATTAAATATTTGATTTGTTATTGACAAACTTTGTCATTATTTAATTTGGGTGCACGCTAAAAGTCCAGGCCTGGCACACTAAAGCGAATCCGCGTAAAGTACCCGTTAGGGAACGGCTATTTTTGGCACACAGTCATGTCGATAATCGTTGGAAAAGTCGGAAAAATAAAATAGTACATTACAAAACTTCATACTTGCAGACTTCGTACTTGTTTGTATCCTTGCCTAATTTGCACAACCTGGCGTTACGCAGTTATTGAAGCTGATGGGCATGGTTAAAAATTAAGTCAACATGAGCACAATTATTCCAGATATTACGGGTTTTGACAAGTAAAGAATTTTGAGAGTCCTACCACAGATAAGCTACATATTGATTATTGACCATTTGTGACATGCCATAATGAGCAAAAATTAAAAATCTAATAACTAGGTTTAAAATTAGTAAATACAAATGTATTCTGACAGTTTATGAGTTAATTGTGCTTTCTATTTGCAAAATTTCCTCAAGCTTAATACAAAATAAGAAAAAAGTAAATTTTAAAGAAATTTGCAGGATTTCCTGGGTTAAAAAGACAACTGGGATCCTGTTTGAGAAACCCTAGTTGGCATATTCAATAAAGCATGATGTGCTTAACTATAGAAATCAAATGATAACTTGCAAGAGGGGGTAATGCAATGGGTTTGCAAGCAGCCAAGCATCTTTTAGGAGAAGGGAAAAAAAATCTCATGAAGTGGTGGGATACTTGCCGGAACCACAGGGGAGAATATTTTAAAACATATTAAATGATGTACTTAAAAAAAATAATTCTGGTTATTTTTTGACTGAACTAAGTATTAAAAAAGATGCAAAAAATCAAATAATAATAATAAATTATTTAAAATTCATTGATTTTAACTATGATTTGTGGTTAAGAAAATTTAAAATGAATGATAAAACACTACTAATGGATATTAATAAATTAATTTACCTAAACTATTTTTGGTAGTTTTATTTTGTACACTTTGAATGGTTTCTTGAAATGATTTCTGTTCAGAACAATTTATTCCATTGTCTGCAGTACAATGCTGATTATCTACATTACCTTCAGAACTAAATTTTCTCATTTCGTTAATCATTTTATCAGAACTGGCCATTGCACTCTCAGCAGCAATTACTTCTGAAAAGAACAATGTAAATATAATTGATATATTTACTTCTTGAATATTCACATTACAAACTTAACATTACCTGGAAGATTTGGATTAGATGACTCTCTAACATCAACTTCCATAAGAAAATCATCACGGAAGAAAAGATAACCAATTATGGAGAACAAATACACCAAAATGAGTGCAAGAATTGCAGTTAAAATAATGGATCGTCCATTTCGAGTAACTGATTTGATTACATTTTTTAAAGTTTCTTCTTGATAGACTACATCTAAAAGCTAATAATGTTAAATTAAATTAATATATTAAATAAAAAAACCTTAATATACTACATAGAAACCAGAATTTACTCATGTTACATTTTTGTTTCTAGATTTTAAGTATTCAACTATAATATTCATATTTAAATATCAAAATAAAAATGCTGACAAATACATTCAAATAAACAACAAAAAATGCTTATAATTTAAAAAAAATTACATCTAGGGCAGTAAGAATATAATTTAACTGGTATTCTTACCAAACTAGTATTTTAAGAATTTTGCAATTATATAAATTGATACAGAAAACAAGAAACAACACTGACAAAAAAAAGTGTTTCTTGATGTCAATATCATCATCGTGGAGATTAATGCTCTTTTGTTCAAGACAAAAAATGTCTTACAGAAAACAAATGCTTTATAGTTACATAAATCAATTATTCTTGTAGAATATAAATATCTTTTTCACAAATTATCATAAAAAAAAGAAATCAAAAAACAGTGCACAGAAAAAATAAGCTAATTGTAACATTCTACATTTAACAAGCAAGAATTCTTTAATTAAGTCAAGTCATCAACACACAAAATTGAAAAAAATATATATTTTAAACAATGGGAAATTTATTGCCAATGATTATATATGACATTACAACTAATAATGTAGGCCTCAGATTTTAAGGACATGTCATATTTTTTTTCTATTAGTACAACTGAACTGATTTCACAGAGACAAGCTTTGAATCATGTTGAGTATAAATGAAAGGCTATTAAATGTCCTATAAAGTCATATTTTGGCTGAAATTTTTGGGATAGGTCTTTTTTAAACCAAAATATGGTGTAATGCCTGTTTTTGTAATTTTTTTCAGTATTTTGTAGCATTTTACATCACATTTTTGAAATTGTCAATTTTTTTTAAAATTTTGCCCACTGTTGCCATGTCACTAGGGATTGGCTTGACCCCCTGGGTCAGCTTAAATCAATAGAACAACTTTTTCAAGCCAATGCCCCTAACCAATTTTTCTTTGTGTGAGAAATGCTTAGAAATATTCTTAGGGAAGCTTTCTATAAATCTCACACTTTGTGTCTTTATCATACATTGTCCTCCACATCTAGAAACCATTTAACACAATGTTTCTTCTTACTCATTTAAACAGAGGAAAGGGAAAGGTTGTCAGTAGCTCCAACCATCTCCTATTGGTACATGTTTTCGAAAGGGAGACCTATAAGGACTAAAATTTCACTTCTACTTTCAGTGAGTGCTGTTTTTTTTTTTTTTTAATTTTGCATACCTTTAATTGTATACTTTAAGACAGATAACCAAACTTTGTGAGGATAACTACACAACTTTTTAAAAATCAAATTTTAAAGGAAAGGTCAAGTTGAATTGCAATGCAAAGGTTATGGGTTAGTTTGCAAGACACCTGTGTTTTTATTTGTCCATTATTTAATTCAATGTTAAGATCTAAGAAATGAAGCTGGTTGTTACTACTTTGGTTGAGCTTTAACCTTAATCTGTATTGGTTGTGATTAAATGCTTGCAAGTCCTCCTCTATATTTGGCTTAGACTTTCAGATACACATAATCAAAATATCATCAATGTAGTGCACATAGAATGTTTGGTAAAAATTTCTCTATGGCTATAGCTTCCAGGTTTCTAATTAACAACTTACATAGATTCCTTTAAAGGGAATCTATGTAAGTTTCCCTTTAATAAAGTATTGCTGGAAGATGAAAAAGGTGTGATATCGATTAAAAGATATATTATTATTAAAATTTAAAATAATTTGGTAATTTTATAATACAGTAATAATGCACCAATTGTAAAGATAAATTGATCATTTAACTTAAAAAATGTTTTATACAGGGTTCCTACTCAAATTTTTGTTTTAAATTCCATGACTTTCCCTGACCAACTTTGTACAAATTCCCTGATCCTCATGTCCCTTAAAGTATAGCACAATGACAAAATAAAACAGCATTTGACTTACTATGCACATATGCTATTGCTTCTCCAACTTTTTAATTATTTATTTTTTCTAATTAATAGTTGTATATTTTTTTATAATTGTCAAATTATAAAAACTAAAAATAAAATGTTTTATTAAATTAAAATAGTTTATTCTGTTATTAATCCACAATCATAAATGTACATGGCTTTGAAAAAAAAAAGCAATTGTTTATTTATTATTCATTAGCAAATCCTGTACAATCCAGGTACAAGATAATATATTTATTAAATTTATCTCTTAATAAATTTCCTGAACTTTATAAAATATTAATAAACTGGGGGAAAAAAAATCAGAAATTGTTTTGTTATACAATCAAAATTATTAAAATGAAAAACAAGAAACAATTTTAATTTATATGGTGGTATTATTAATCACTTTGTACTTGTAAATTTTTGGGAAAATTTTGTCTATGCTTGGGAGAAATTTTGGGTCCTGAAAATATTCTGCACTTCTTTTCATAAGTATTGAACCACATTACTTCTTGCACCTATAGATGGCTACACTTAGTCAAGCATATTGTCAGCAAAAAATCAACAAGGCAGCAAAGGAGGCAAATTCCCTCACTTTTTGACAATTTTCCTGACTTTCCCAAACAGTAATGAAAATCCCTGATTTTTCTGACTTTCCAGGTGCCTAGGAACCCTGTAAACACTATAATTATGTTAATTAAAATAACAACTTTTACTTACAAGTACACTGTAAAAAAACGGATGCATACAAAGACCTGAAACGCATACAATCAAGTAACCAATGTGATATAACAATTCAAAATCTGTTAATATTTGTCGAAAACTTTTTGTAAAAGTTCCATGATTTCCCATGATGCTGACTAAATGTACAGAGGTAATTATTAGCTAGAAAAAAATATATAAAATGAAATTAATTATATAGAAAATATTAACTTTAGATGCTTTCTGGAAAAAACTTTTAAAATATTATTTAATATACAGGGTGATTAGAATTAAAGTTCCACTTTGAAATGGCCATAAAATGAAAACTACAGGACAGAATGTTATCAAACTTGGTAATAGTGTACAGGACATCTTGACAATTTATTTTCTGTGAAAAAAGTTCAAAAACTCACCATCAATGGGAAATGGCGCTGTCTGCAATATTGTTAAATGAAACAAGACATGAAGACATCATTGAAAATGTTTTTAATCAGTTTTAAAACGTGTTACAGAGCATGTTCAATGTGGTGTCCACCATTTTTGATAAGCAAGTTACATGGCATTACTGTGTTCTCAACAGTAGCTCTTAGCATATCACTTTCTTCCTTCTGTAAACTATTGTGATTTTGCGTAACCCCACAAACAGTTTTATTTTAAAACTGAACTTTAATTATAATCATCTTGTATTTTGATTCTCATTCAAAAACATCATCTTTAATGAACAAACAATCTTTGATGGGATTATCATTAAAAATTTTAATAAAAGAGAACAGACAAAATCCTAAATTGTAGACTTCATTATTCGTAAATCACGCCTAAATTCAAAATTTCCAGCAAATAAAAGTCAAAAACACATATTGAACGTTTTCAGCCACTAAATTTATTGGCCTTCCTCAGGAAATATCAACTGGAAAAGGCAGCTAAGTTCTATTTATAGAACAGTTTTTCCAGTTGATATTTCCTGAGGAAGGTCGATAAATTTAGTGGCTGAAAACGTTTGATATGTGTTTTTGACTTTTATTTGCTGGAAATTTTGAATTTAGGTGTGATTTACGAATATTACAGTTCCAGTTTATGGTGAGGTTGTATTTAGACTTCATTAATTTTTTTTTGTAAAAATCAATTACCATTAAAAGAAATTGAATTTATTTTTAAAAAGTGAAATGAAATTGGTGATACATAAAATCAACTAGTTTTGGTGATTTAATTTTAAAAAATTTTTTCCTGTAAAATTAAATCACCAAAAAAATAACATATATACATGAAAGAAAACAAATCATAACACTTACATTTACTGTTCCTAAAACCCATAGTGATGGCTGTAAGCCCATAGAATATATCATACGAAATATAACAGATGTAACAAAGACACGAATGCCAGTAGTTCGTGGAAGAGTAATTATTGTAGCAAAAGATACAAGCATTACAGTCCATAAGAGTCCAGAAATTCGAGAATCCAAATCTAAAATTATTAATTTTGTCATTTTAATTACAATTAACAAAATTTAAAAATTTTTTATTACAGTTTTATATTGATACCAATCATAATATTAATTAAATAAGAATTTCTTATAATTAAAATATTTTGAAAGTAATGAGTTTGGTGATGTCACTACTGAAAATAACAACACATAATTAATGTATTTTGTGGTTGACTATATCTATAATACTATTCTTATGGAACTAAAAATCATGTATAAACACAGCATTTGTGCACCCATGCCATAAAAGTTTTATGGCATGGGTGCACAAATGCTGTGTTTATACATGATTTTTTATGATGACATAAAAGTTTTATGGCATAGGTGTGCAAACACTGTGTATATACATGATTTTGAGTTCCATAAGTATAGTGTTATAGATGTAGTCAACCACAAAATACTGTATGACAATTTGTTTATAATAATTGCCTATATTATAAATTAATTGCATAATATACTATTAAAGTTCCAACTGTATATATGTTTTGATAAGTTTACATTAATCTATCTCTGTTGTTCAGATATCCATTTGTAAACATGATTTTCAAGCAACCATTACAGATTTGAAATCTGAACAAAAACCTGTTATATAATTTATATGTGTTTCTGAAAAACTATTACTATAAAATTTCATATGATAAAAAATGATGCTATACCCTACATACAAGTTAGTCAACCACACAAGTAATTTTAGACAAGAAAAAGGACAAATAACAGTTTATCCTGTAAGATATTTGCAATTTTCAAATTGCAGATCCATACATTCCCACTGTCATCTGTATGTCTGTCTTTCATTAATCCTGAGAATGAAGTTAGTTAGATGAAAATCAAGATCAGATATGGGGAGCTTAGGGAACAGAGGCACTGATTAACTATATACAAACTTCCAATATGGACCAGAAGTCATGTGATTTCAATTCAAAATTTTCTAGAGTTAGATAGAAGACTGGTATGATTAGGGGCAAGGTCATGAAAATCCAGATGAGATATGAAAAGCTTAGGAGCCAGAGACCCCAATTAACTGTATACAAACTTTTGAGGTTAACTACAATGACAGACTGCATTTTTTAATTTTTTAAAATTAAAAAATGCAGTCTGTTATTGTGATGATATCACAATAAATAATTATTTTTTCTCTGTAAGTTCTCAACAAGCCTACAAGTTTTGAATATACAATAGTACCATAATAAAGCCAATAAAATAGTTTGGGAAAATGAATGATGATAATGCTGAACTCAAAAAGATTAGTGTTAGTTATGTTCATTAAGTGATATAAAACACTACAGTAGAACCCCTCTAATCCGTAACCTTTGGGACTGGGGGTATGGTCGGGACGCAAAAAAGGTAAAATTAGCAGTGCTACAAAGACTGGACAAAGGGGAAGATTGTTTATTTTACTTTTTTCTGATAATCCATATCAGAAAAAAGTAAAATAAACAATCTTCCCCTTTGTCCAGTCTTTGTAGCACTGCTAATTTTTCATTTAATGAAAGAGTAATGTGTTTACGTTTCACTCATGACATGTTAAAAACACACACAAAACTGTACATGTACACACAATGTAAAACATATACTGTAATAAACACAGAAAAATGCCACGGACAGTGAATCACCGACGAGTCAGGACAAGTTTCTTGACTCCAACCACTGTCGGATTAACCGGAGTGATGGACTAGCCAAGGGCGGACTAGAGGGGTTCTACTATAATTCATAATGAACAAACTGTGTAAGAGTCTTAAGTGAAGAAATCAATATTGAATTAATCAATCATCATATTTGTTCGGCCTTGCATCATATGTCTTTTTGTCTTTTCTGCTATAACTTCAAACAAACTGGTAATATGTGTGTTATTATTCAGATAGAATGAGATATAAAATTATAAATATTTTAAACATTATTAATCAAAAGAAATTGAATTAATGTTTGAAAAATAAGTTAAATGCTAAGATCAATATAATTCATCAGGAAAATATTTTGAAAGATAACAGAAGTAATTTTTTATCTTATACACCTAATTCATTTCTTGGTAAAGCAATCTTGTTACTTTTAAAATTTTCCTCAAATTCAGAAAAAGCTTTCTATTTTAAGAAAATTTATAACTTCAAAATTAAATAACGCATGTAAAATTTATAATCTAAAATTGGGAATTAAGATGATGTGTTAAATGTTTTTATTATATATAAAAAAGTTATTAAATAATAAATATTTCAACAGACTATGGCAAGCTATTTGCAATGGCAAATTATAATTATTAATAAATTTATATTTGTTTTTATTCAATTTTTTATCCAGGAAGTGGATTTTATAATTGGTTTTAATTTATGTAATTCCCTTTTCCATAATCATTTTTATAAAATATGAAGATTTATTATGAAACTTTGTCATTCTCTTTTTCTCAAAAATAAATAAAAATGATAATTACTCTTAGGATAATATTCTAATAGAATAGTTTCAAAATGGAATATTAATTACACTAGCTAATTATTTTTGGATACTTTTTCTACAATAATATTTTACTTGTAAAATAAAAAAAATAATACCTTTAACTTCATTGAAAGGATAGAAAAATGCAACGATTACATTTATTAAAACTGCAAAATTAAATGCAATAGTGCTCCACATGGACATGTGACGACTAACCCAATAAAGTAACGGTTGACCTAAAACAAATAATGGGTTAAATTGAAAATCATCATTTTTAAAATATATAAATTGTCATGAAGTATATTATATTTTAAAAAATATTACAAAAATATAAGTATTAAATAAAAAATTATTAGAATAATAAAAATGTAATACAGTAAGACCCCACTTAATGCTGCCTCAATTAATGCTGATTCAATATAATGTGGTCTACTTGAAACCTAAAAAAAGTTCAAAATTTACACTGATTCAAATTATCGCAGCATTTCATTGATTCATATATACGATTATTTATGAACATGAACCAATCAGCAAAAGGAGGCAATTTGTCATAGTGCTGTATTTCCCTTAAATCTATGTTTGTTTTGTGCAATTTTGAAAAAAATATAACATTATGGATGTCATAAGAAATATTGACTTTGCTTGGTATGAATTAACTGATAAATGCATGAACAAAGTGTGGAAGAAGTTATGTCTGAAGGTATCCAAGAATTTTCAATGAGAAGAGTCTATCATTGACTAAATTGTCAACCTAATCGATACAGCAGGACTAGAAGATATAGACGAGCAGGATATTGAGGAGTTACTGAAGGTTTCTGGTGACAGCCTTACCAATGACAACCTTCAAGAACTGGCAGAACAAGGAATTCATGTAGAACTGGAAAACAGTGATTCTGAAAATGAAGAATCCAAAGAATTTCTCTACAGATTTCCTTAGTAAAAGTTTGGTAATGATAACCAAAATCATTGGTCAAACTGTAGTGAAAGATCCAGATTTTGAAAGGAGTGCAAAAGCAAAATGAGCATTTTGGATGAGATCTCTTGCTACCGACATTTGCTTAATGAAAGAAAAAAAAGCAACAAAAGAAACTACACAACTTTATTGAAAAAAACAAGAATTTCAGATTTGCCAGGACCTTCATCACAAAAAATGAACTTTACATTTCTGTGTGCACACATTTGTGTTATTTAACATATATTATTATGCAAATTAATATAAAAATAACTTAAAAATTAAAGTAAAATCTGTTTATTTTTGGTCACGTGTTCCCTTTTTCCTATTTACTCTATGTTGAAATGACCTCATTTAATGCTGTTATGTTTAGTGCTTTGTCATATCGGAATGCATCACCCACATTAAGTGGGGTCTTACTGTACTTTACATTTAAATAATTTAATGAAAATATAAACTATACCATATTAAATACCATTTTAATTATATATTCTCAACTGAAACATAAATATCATAATTGTAAAATTTACAATCTCATATATTGCTCAAAATGCTAATACAGGTATACCTTGCCTTATGTTGGTAATTGGTTCCAGGAGAGGCGACTTAAGTCAAAAAATGATGTAAATCGAATTTACTTTTCTCCAAATTTACTTGTCACTAGGCTAAACCACAAATAACCATTCCCAGTTTTGTATTTTATTTATAAATGCATTTTTAATAATATATTGTTAATAATAATCTATTTTAAGCTTACAAACCAATAAATTTTAATTTTTAATATAGTACGAAAAAAGTAATCTAAATTTATGAATTCATGTACGTACAGTACATACTTGTAAATGTACATGTTTACAATTTGGCAATGTTTACAGTACATCGCATACTCTTTATTTGTGAATGTGGTTTGCTCTAAGACATTATAAAATAAAATGATTTTATAAGGTTAAATAACAAATACAGTTATTAAAATTATCTTATGACAGTAGAAAATAAACTAATTTATATTAAATTTACTAATATCGAGTGGCGCTGAAAACAATGCCAAATGGTAGATATTGGAACTACCATGGAAAACACCAATATTGAGCACTTAAAGACCACTAAATAAGATGACAANAATCTATTTTAAGCTTACAAACCAATAAATTTTAATTTTTAATATAGTACGAAAAAAGTAATCTAAATTTATGAATTCATGTACGTACAGTACATACTTGTAAATGTACATGTTTACAATTTGGCAATGTTTACAGTACATCGCATACTCTTTATTTGTGAATGTGGTTTGCTCTAAGACATTATAAAATAAAATGATTTTATAAGGTTAAATAACAAATACAGTTATTAAAATTATCTTATGACAGTAGAAAATAAACTAATTTATATTAAATTTACTAATATCGAGTGGCGCTGAAAACAATGCCAAATGGTAGATATTGGAACTACCATGGAAAACACCAATATTGAGCACTTAAAGACCACTAAATAAGATGACACAGATGTTTTCATGTTTCGTTCTCTAGGATTATGATGATTATATTAACATTTACTGTAAATGTACATATTTTAATATGATTTTATGTGCTTTAATGCTTTTCTAGTGATATTATGACTTCAATATTTGTGGCGGACAGACATAAAGTCGAATAAAATGACTTAAACTTGATTTGCAATAAAAATATATNTACTGTAAATGTACATATTTTAATATGATTTTATGTGCTTTAATGCTTTTCTAGTGATATTATGACTTCAATATTTGTGGCGGACAGACATAAAGTCGAATAAAATGACTTAAACTTGATTTGCAAAAAAAATATATGGAAAAATTTCCATATATATTTTTTGACAAATGACATATAATCGAGAATGACATAACTCGAGGTATACCTGTACATAAGCCTTCAAATTATGAAATACTTTAATTGAATAATATGTATAAACTTTCCATAGTTCTATAGTACAGTTATTTTTATGAAAATACAAACTTCAGATTAGTTTTTAACTAATCCAAGCACTTTTTAAACAACTATATCTAATCTGCAGACAGTTTTTAAATATTTAAAGAAATATCAGTAATATATGAAGAAATTTTAATCTATAATATAAGTAACATAAAAATGACTCACTACTGAAATCCTGAAGAGTAAAAATTAGAAATGAGAAAACTGTCTAGAAATAAATTATAAAAACATTTTAAAAGTTGTTTAAAAAGTGATTAGATTAGTTAAAACTAATCTCAAGTTAATATTTTCATAAAAAGAACTGTACTAACACAACTACATATGAATGGCATTTAAAAGATTAAACTATTGGAATCTGGTTTCAAGATGAACTATACCTCAAAAATGCAACCAGAGTCTGTAAGCATTATGCCACTAAAGCAATTTATTATATATTTAAAGACATTTCTTACCAAGTTCTTTCATTTGTATTTTTGAATTAAACAAAAAAAAAATTTCAAATATTCCAAACAGTTATATTTATTAGATTATAGAATATATTACAGTTTATTTTTTGAGATTATTTATAAATGTACAAGAGTTAAATTTTTCAAGACTAATTATTTAAAAAATGGTAATATACTGAGAATATATTATTATTTGATTTGTGCTGAGTTAACATCAATATTTTTTAATTTTGTTATAAAAATGCTTGAACATAATTTTTGTATTTAAAGTTTTTTTAACTTACCTCTTAATTTTTTCTGCCACTTCATTTCACTAAATAAATCTTCTGTTCTTTCAAAGAAATCTGAAACCTACATTTATCCAATCAATATTAAAAAGTTAGCTTTTTTTTTAAATAAGAGTAAATTATTTATAAAAAGAATGAAACAAATTTGTATTAATAAATACCTTACTTCCTTGCTCGTCTCTCTCTGCTGTAAAATAAACTTTCATTTTAGATTCTCTAGTTAAAAACTCACATATCTGTGGCACTGGAAAAACAATTTGTTCCATTGTACGATCATGACGAACAATCTGTATTCAAATTAAAAAAAAAAGTAAAATTTAAAAATTTATACAAACAAAATTATTTTATTTTAAAAAAATAAATTACTTGAAATAAATTTAATGGTTACCTCAATCTGAACTGTGTGACTAGCATAATATTGAAGTGCTTGATTCATTTTTGAATCTGGATCATTATGATTTATTTTAAGTAAAGATGCCAGTTCTTTGTTATGCTGAGCTAACTGATGACATAATATGTAAATATTATGACCAACTTCTTTTGACGAAACACCATCGTCACCTTCAATCATTTCTTCGCTTTCATCATCTTCATCGTCATCACCTTCCTGATGATATGCCATACAAGCAACATCTAACTGTAGCAGGAATATATTATTTTAATTATAAACCAATAATTTTATTAAAAAGTCTATCTGATAATTTATGAGAAATTAAAATATTTATAGTGTAAAGACATACAGTAATATTTTAAAATATAAAATGATTAGGACTACTATGTTAAAAATTAAATATTAAATAACAAGTTTAATGATTAAAAAGATGCTAAATGCTAATTGATGCAAACAAATTATAAGTTTAATGTTAGAAACAAAATCTGTAGAAAATTTTACTTAATAAAAATAAAAATTTACACACACAGCATGTATTAATAACAAAATATCTAAAAACCAGATTTTTTTTGTTTTTATATATGATTAACATCTAGCCTATTATTACACTAAAGAAATTCAGCATTTGTGAAACTAATAGACAAAAACTTTCTTTTAACTCATCTATCTCTTTAAACACGAAATTGGCTTAATCCATTCGAAATGAAATTGGCCAAGAGAAAGTTCTTTGACTGGTTTTGCTATACAAATTCTCCTTGTATTCTGAGGGTTAAAAACAATTTTGTATCTGTCTAGCCCTTCTTTGGTGAAACAGTGATTGTTACCAGCACATTCACATTTGTCAAAAGTGAAGTAGGACTTGTTGTCAATAACCACATCAAGATTGACATCTTTGAAATTCCATCAAGCAGCTTTTGCAGAAGAGGCTTTTTAGTAGCAAGTTGCTTTATTGTGTATTTTTGAGCACACTTTTGCTTCTTGAGAATCACATCATGTTCCTTCAGAAAAAGGTGGACTTGTCTGAATGAATGTAAACGTTGGATGGCTGCGAATGATGTGGTTGTCATGAGGGCTGATAAATATATATCAATAGTTAAATATATTTTCTTATAAATAAAATATAATGTCATAAATCCTATACGTCAATTGACCAAAAACTCAATAGAAATATAAACATTATTTAATAATATGTACAGTACAGTACTGTAACACATATTTAACATAAAATAATAAACTTCAAATGGTAAATGAAAAGAAAAAAATAGAATAATAATAAAATGAAACTATGTGGTAGTTAATATGACTACAAACAAGTCTGGATATTTTACAAGTTACATAACTGTCAAATTGACTGCAGATAAAATAAATGAAGTCTGACTTTAAGATAAACTAAGAAAATTAATATATTAGCTGCAATTCTTCAAATAGAACAAGTATACTCCATTATTGGTATCTATTTATATATTACATTATGGAGAGTTTCTCTAGCTGAACTCAGATTTCTTAGCAGATTTGAACAAATTAGGTATCAATAGACAGAAGTGGGTCTGCAGACATACAATAATGATATAATAGACATCTTGTATTGTCTGATTTTAAGACAGTTTCATTTAACATTTTTATAGTATATTAACAATAAAAATAAAATCTTACCAGTTGTTTTGGACTCATATTATACAATATTCTCTCTGCATTTTCACTATCAGCTCTGCTTTCCATTATAGCCAATAAAAGTTTGGAAGCATTATTCTTTAATAAAATACAATATTTTAATTGAATAATAAAATACATTTCATTCATATTCAGAGAAAATAAATAAATATTTAAGAAAAGACTATAATATTTTATTCCATTTCATAAAAAAATAGGAATAATTTTAATAAAACAAACAATTTTCAAATATATTAATTTAATGATAAAAGTATTGTTATCGTTTACTTGTTTTAGGTTTAAATATTACCAACTTACTTTTAATTCCAATACTAAATCCATTCTTTTTTTCCCAAGTGGATTAATATCATTTAAAATTAATGCAATGATTATATCAATACCATTACTTTCATGAGCTGCAATACAATTCTATTAAACAAAATAAAACAAATTATGGTAACTATCAGAGTAAAATAAAGTAAGTTAGAAAATATAGAATTACTTGATTCTCATGGCAAGGTCCTTGACAATATTCAGTTAGTGTTTCTAATGTTTGATTTACTAAGTTTACATTATTTTCATTTATATATAATCCCAATAAGCCTAAACCTCCAGTAGTGCTTCCGCAAATACAGTCAAGGAACATTAATGTTTCGGATACAAGATTGTAATTTGTTTTATTATTCTGATGCCTCAAAAAATTCTGAAAATAAATTTAATACATTTTTTTAATATAAATAAATAAATATATTGGTATATATTACATTATACAAGCATATTATATATTATATAATAATTACAAAATTTGGATGATATAAAAATAAATAAGATTTTACTTTCACAAAAACTTTTCATTTACATTTAAAAAATGAATATGGAGAAGAAAATCAAGAAATTTACTTTAATATTGTTTACTCTATCTAATATCATATAAGTTTATAAATTTTATTCTTAGTCTATATCAATTAGACACATATATGCACGAGAGCTTATCAGTGTAATGAAGCTGTAGTAGTGCATATCAGTTTCTGTTGGATCAGCCAGTTCAAATAAAATGTTTTTTGTTCCTGGAGGTAAGAATGTAAAAAAAGTGATGTTCTTAAAAACTATTACAACTGTGAGACATCATCCATGATAATTGTAAACATGCCATATTTACAATGGCTCTTTAATGTATATTTTTATGATTTATATCAGGGGTGGCCAAGCTTCTTGATAGTCCAAGCCATTTTTCAAAATTTGAAATTTTTCCCGAGCCGCAATTAAATACGTATTAAAAAGGTATGCAAAAATTCCAGATTACAAATTATATCCGTAGCAAGAGTGATGCAAATTGTTTCCTCCAGAGCACAATGTCAACTGTCCATTGCAATGACAGTTTACAAATTCAAAATCGGTCTGGACTCGGTTGATAATGGACGATTACGCCACTGTTTATGTTCGTTCGCGCAGTTTTCGATGAGTCATATCATTCTTAACTTGGACGGAAATGAAATTTGTTACAACGTTGCACTTAGTCTTTCATATTTGTTGTTAGTAATTTAAAAGACATTTTGAAACACATACGGAACAATAATAATTTTTTAAAATATAGTAACACAAAAATGAAAAGGGAACTCGGGTACATTTATCGAGAGCCACAAATAATCATTCAAAGAGCCGCATGCGGCTCGCGAGCCGCAGGTTGGCCACCCCTGATTTATATAATGTTACAATTTATTTATATAATTTTATGAACACTAACTAAAGGGGGACATATTGACTCTGAAATGCATTTTAAGTGTTCTATATAACATATTATCAAAAAAAAAAAAGCTGTACCTTATTGTAGATAATCATTAAAGATTTTGTAATTTAATTCTCATTCACTGGTGTGATAAGCCCTCATGTACAGTAAAGCGTCGTTTATCTGAAAGTCAACTATCCGAAAGAATTCCAGTCGGCAAATTTAAATTTTCGCTAGTGCTGTGGCACTGCAATCTGTGGCTACTCAAATATTTTACGTTTTTGATACTAAATTAACTTCTGAAGTAGAATTTTTTATTGTTTTTATATTTTTCAATATATTTATTTTGTTTGTACAAAATAAAAAAATAATTTTTAATGATACAATAGTCTTTGTTAAGCTTAACATTGACGAAAATTCAACGCAAAGCAACACGCAACAGAGAAAATTTCAACATGGGACAGGTTATATTTTTTCGTACATAATCAGTTATCCGAAATATCAATTTTCCAAACAACTCCAGTCCCCAATTGATTCGGATAAACGACGCTCTACTGTATATATGTATCTAATTGATATAGACTAAGAATAAAACATTAAGGGCTAAAAACAATAGATTACAATAATAAACTAATAAATGTAATAAACTATAAAACTTCTAGAATATGTTGACATTTTTTAATTAAATTTAACAACTAAGAAAAATGGCTAACATATTTTAAAATAATATGCAAATAATTTACACAAAAATTTTCTAAAAAACTTCAAAGTTACTTGTTAACTGTGGTTAAATATAACAATAAAAATTATAGTTTTTTTTATTTAAAAATATCATACTAATGATATCTTAAATATTTATGTAATATTATTGTACTATTTTATAACAACTTTTAACACAATACTGACCTGAAGATTATTATTATGATTTTCACAAAGTAATTGCAAGAACCGAAGAATTGGTTGCATTATTTCAATATCTGGTGCCAGCTTATTTTCTTCAGCATCTTTACTTTTTTCTGCTTTTTCAGCTAATATCTCTTCTAATGCATTACATGACTGAGAAACTACATAAATCATATATTAAATACATTAATCTGTGTATGATAAAGTACTTAATTCAAACCATTATTTTTAATTTTAAATATAATCAATATATAAAGTTATCATTTTATGTTCTTAAGTCAATGATTTTTGAACTTTTTCATATTTATTTGCAAATACAGATATAGTATATCCTGCAAAATGTCTTCTCAATTGACATTTTTCTGGTAGAACATTTCTTAGTTTTTTAGTGTCTAAACTTCATAGAATGTATATACAGTAGTCACCATGAAAATGAAATCACTACGATATAGGCTCATTCACAAAATTTTTAAAAGGGCAAAGTTTTGGAAAAAAAATATTATTTTTTATAATATAGCTTATTAATTTTTACAATACAGAATAACATAATACAGTTAACTAAGGAAGAACTGAATAGCTACAAAATAAGTTATACACAATATACTGTTTAATTTTAATTTTTTGATTCTTCCCAAATTGGTGGGATTAAACCCCCAAAACCTTGTGTTGGCCTTGCTATGATATATACCAAAAGTGTTCAACAGATATGCAAAGTAGAATATTTAAGCCATTTAAGCTATGATTGTTGTTTGTAATAACAATATATAGAGAATAAACCAAGAAGAATCAACAAAAGAAAGTGCAATTTATTACATATAATGATACACTGAACAAATATTATTTCACATCACAGCCACATCAATACTGTTAATAAACACTTTTGAACAACTTGACATTCACAGTTACATAGGAGAAAAAATGTTTACAGAATAAATAAGCCTTGAAAAACATAATATAAACAATTATTTCTCATTAAATGGACCTTCATAGAGCTATAAGGTTTAGTCTTCTTCACATGAGTACCAAGGCATTTTACCCTATGTTATAGACCTTAATCTAGAGCAGGCAGATATGGCCATGTTGTGAAAGTAAATAAAATCATGTTACCAAAAATTCAAAGATGTTGATAGTAATATGTATAGTCTGAATCTGATTTGGAGTTTCACCAAAATAAAACAGACTATTACATGTGGCATCTAATAAAGAAACTGTTTATTAACAACCATATTAATTGTCTGATTGATCAACAAGCAATTAATATGGTTGTAAATGAACAGTTTCTTTATATATAATAATATGTATACAACTTGCATACCATACCAAAACACCTTACATTTACAATAAGGCATGGCAACAGCATGTAATGATCAGAAATCAATTCTTTAAGCATTTTTCATCTTAACATGATTATTTATTACTTATATATTGGTATTTTATTGTATTTTAATTATGTTTAAGAAAATTAGTTGAGAGACTTGGGCGACATTGTAACATATTATTATTGTTCACATTTAAAATAATGAGAAATAGACTACCAGTTAGCACTGTCATGAAAAATGTTGTTTTTAGGAACGGATTACTGACATTAAACAGGAGATGCCTATACTCTTAATATGATACCAAATTTTATACAATTCTTTAAATAAATTTTGATTTCTAAAATAATTCTTAGATTAATATTCAATGTTTTATTCTAATTCAATGCCCAAAAGAGAAGTCAAAAATCAAATTATAAGTATTACATCTCTACTTAAATATTAAACTGTTACCTTGACTAATAGTTAAAATATCCATATCTGAAGGTTGTGATGGTGATGTGGAACCAAGATTACGTAAATGAGCATATGCTTTATTTGTGGCTAAAGCAGCATCTTCTAATTGTTCTTTTAATTCTTCAGTAATAACTACACCATTCTGCTTCAATACTATAAACATAAGTGATTATTTAGTTATGAAGTAAATAAATAAATGAATAATATATCTATACCAAGTTTAAATTCAATGTTGATGTGACAAACTAATTATTATTAATGCTATCAAATTTAAATCACTTACTATTTTAATCAGATATTATTACATACCAGTACATGTATTATATTTTCTGTAACTGAACAAATTACCTTTAAGTTTTCTTCCATCTTTGCTATTATCCTTTCCTAAACTATCCTTTTCTTCTCCAGCATGTGCTGCAATATCTGCTGTGTTTACTGTAACTGTTGATTTAATTTCTTGTTGAGCAATTTTCATTTTATCATAAAATACTTTAAAAAATTTTTCAGATATATTGCCTGATGTTAATTTCATATACATAGATTTCTGAAATAATATACAAATTTATTTTTAAATGCTTTTACTTTGATTAAAAAAATAACATAAGAAATTTTCCTAACCTGAATAACAGGATTTCCACCTTCCAAAAGAGCTTTTCCCAGTTCAACACTTTCTAAAAATATTGCGTGATTTGGATTCTTCATAATTAATTCTACTACTAAATTCGATGCACCTTCATGATCTAAATGACATTGAACTTCTGCTAAAGTCATTTGGGCTCGGCTTAACATTACTCCTCCCGGGCCATGGGTAATATTGCTACTAGGAACTGAATTATTTGTAGGATTTTGTTTATTCATTGTGGATGATGCATCACGCTTTGTATGACTTTTTCCAAAATATCTAGTCAGTAATGTCTGTCGTAATGCTTCACCCTATATAAAAATAATAAATGTTTAATAAAAATTAATGTTATACTAAGACAATGAGTTGTGATGAGTGAAACACTTTAAAAAACGGACTTTTATGGATAATAATCTACACATATTTCAAAACATGCAAGTAGATTTTTTTTGTCTATTCATGCAGTGTGGCCATGCACACAAACACCAATATTAACTCACTTCCCACTTTCTCTTACCCTCCATTGATCATCTATTTCCTTCTTGGTTAATATCTTGGGATCCATCTTTTTTTGAAAGCAGTGTAAAGTTTAAAAAGAATTAATTATAAGAAATATTAAATTCATATTCCACATTTTTTAGTCTCATTTCAATAAGTCAAATACATAGCATATATAATTGAAAGATATAAATTTGTCAAATTTTGAATCATCATTATTAATTAATCTATAATCAGAATCATAGCATTGTTGATTTTTCTGTTTACAAAGCTCAGAAATTATATTATTATTGAATAACAAAAGCTAAAGAACCCAAAATTTCTTAACAATATATGTCATTCAATAAAGTCCAACTTGCTACTGCAGTTAACTCAAAAAAGCAAACAATACACCTTTATGTCATTCAAATTTAATATTTCTCCAAGTTTATATGATTTAAGAACATAATTCTAACCAAGATCTATTTCCACCCCAAAGTAAAAGGTTCTATCACAAAAAAAAAAAAAGTTGTGCACTTTGCATCATATCTAATTAGTATTCTTTACTAGATCCCCAATATCTATAATGAAAATGTTCTGTAATAATTATAAAACATTTTTGATTTTCAATTTTTGTTGGAAATAGAGCCCTTTGCCTCAGGAAGTAGAAATCAATTTATATAAAAAATGATTGTTAACTAATTAAATTAGTTATTTCTGTTTCAATTTTTTTTTACTTTAACAAATTTCTATTTATTTTTCTTATTTTGATGTGAGTAAAGTTTTTTTTTTTAATATTTTCAATAAAATTTCATAAAATTTTGATGTTTTTCTTCCTTAAAAAAATATAAATTTAATTTGGGTTTATAAAATAAAATTTAAGTGTAAATTAGCCTATTATTTTTCTTTCTAAATTTTTACTTAATTATATATATATTTTTCTCAACATTGATATAATTTTAAAATTTATTTGATGAAATAATGACTTTTAACACTATAATCTACATGAGTCATAAAAGTCACTGAGATAGTTTGTAGTGGGCAGTCAACAAGTGTTTGAATACTTGTTGACTGCCCATTACAAACTATCTCAGAGTTAGCAATCTAACCACTAGCACCCTTTATGGGATAACTCATATAATGTTGTCTAACTGGTTTTGCCTTGTATGATATTCCTTGTGGTAAGTGCTTGTTGTAACTGAATAGCAGACATTAAGAATAAGCACGACACATTGATTGGGCATTATAAAACAAACTATAAAGTAGTTTAAAATTTGATATGACTTTCCTGCTTACAGATTGTTAGATATGAATATGATTGTAGTAAATATACTACAAAAGAAGCTAATATGTGCCTCAATTGTGAATTACAAATCAATTTTGAATTATAATAAGAAAAATTTTTGAAGTAATGTTGAAAAATATTAATAAATATTATTTTTATTTATTAATATTATATATATCATATTACCCAAATTATCTTGTAGTTGGTGCCTGCAAAAGGAAAAGTTACTTCTGATGCCTCCTACAAGATAATTCACATCAATATTTAAAAAGAGCAAATAAACATTAAATAATCAAAATGGCACCTAGGATGTGCAGGTGTAATATCCAGGTCACAAAATTCATCAGACAGCTTAAAGACATTGTTATTATTTGTGATTTTTATGAAATATACCCATAACAGTCTGTAATGATCATATCAGTTATAATGACCTTGAATTTCTCACATTCTGCTTTCATTTGGCAAAAATGGAAAAAGTTCATAGGGAAACTACATTAGATATCAGAAAATTAGTGATAGACTACTGGAAGTTGGATCTATCAGTTAGAGATATTAGTAATATTGTACAAAAAAGCAGTTCAACAGTACATGATATAATAAAAAGATACAGAGATAAACATAGAATTGTAAATAAATAAAGATTTCGATGCCCTGCATTGTTTAACAGTACAAGATAATGCAGTATAATCAAAAAAATAATCCTAAAACAAGTGCATAAAAACTTGCAGCTGAGTTAGAAAATTACATGGAGTTCACATTCATCCAGAAACAGTAAGAACAGTCATGTGGGAAAGTGGATCTACTAGTAGAGTGGTCAGAAGAAAATTTTTTGTTAATGAAAGAAACAGGAAAGCTCACTATCAGTTTGCAAAAAAACATGTTGGATAAAGATTATGAATACTGAAAGCATGTAATATTTGCAGATGAAAGCAAATTTATCTTCTTTGGCTCCGATGGTCAAACCATGGTGTGGAGAGCTTCCTCCATACCATGTTTTGACCAAATTGTACCAAATTGTGAACTGAATAAAGAAAACCTTATGCCAACAGTAAAATATGAAAGAGTAAGTGTTTTGTATGGGCCTATAAGGCAGCCTCTAGAGCTGGAAGACTTGGATGGAAGTATGAATGCAGAAGGATATTTAAATATTTTAAAACAAAATCTAAAGACTTCTGCAAAAACAGGGTATCTCAAATACTTTCCATTTTTATCAAGATAATGATCCGAAACACAAATCTTATAAAGTTTGACCAAATGCCGAAATTCTATCAGGCTAGTTTAAGGCTAATTACTAAATGAATTACATAACCAATTTGGCTCTAGAGGTAAGCATATATCAGACCTAGTGATGTTGTTTGTATTTCTTATAAAGTTCAACAATAGATACTATACAATTGCCCAAAAGTGATTGAGACATCAGCACAGTCTCCCAAACTAAATGTAATTAAACATTTATAAAATGAATAGATAGAAAGATTCAAAAACATAATATTAGTAACAAGAAATGAACTGAAAAATGTCCCCAAACACAAATGGTCAAAATTTGAGGTAAATATAACAGAAAAACTAATAAAATCAATGCCAAACAGATTGAAAGCTGTGTTGTAAAGAAAAGGCAACCCAACAAGTTATTGAAATATTTACTGTTATGTACAACTGATTGTTAATTTGCAATAAGCATCATCTGTCCAATGACTTTTGTTAACTAGAGTTTGTTTCTCCTTTTGTTTCTCCACTTTTTCCCTAAATTGGAATCCTTAACTGAAATGAATATGATGACATAATATTTATTGTTCTTAAAAACCAAATAAGAAACAGATTTTAATCAATATATCAATGAATCAACAATTCTTGTTATAATTTTTTCTCCATATTCTTGTGTCCAATGACTTTTGTGAGTCACTATATATAATATCCAATCTAATTTATACAGGAGATCTCATTTTAATTGATGCACAAAAACAGTACTTGACCATTTTTATTGATACAATACTTGGATGAACTGTAGCTTCTCAATTTTCATATAATACACACTTCAAACAAATGGTAAAATGTCAATAGGAGCTACAGGCCAAACCAGTGGTTCAATGTTAGTGAGAATGGTCTCAAAAAATGTGTAAAAAATGACATCATTCCTGATTTTCAGTTCCTTCAATGATTTTCAAAATATCTGAATATTTATTGAACTAATCAAAGTTTTATGCAAATTTTTGTCACACTATGGATTAGAGTCCTGTGGTTCTAAAACTTAGGCAATGTTGATGAAAAGTTGGTCTAAACACAATTTTATGATGTATTCACTATCCAGTTTTGGTGATATTAATGTCACATCTTTAATGACTGTTGGTTGAATAGACTCCAAAATGCCACTTGATATGTCTTTTTCAATATTGAACAAATTAAATGTTATTTTTACTTTCTCATGACTATGTGAAAGTTAAAACAGATTTTAAAAAAATATAATACCAAATTTCTGTAACCATTCTATTAGAATATTGTAAACTTAAATTGTAAAATCTTTATGATTTTGTCTGTCTTTTAACTAAAATACAAAATAATGTATTAGAATAATGGTTCATAAGAAATCTAGTTTTTTTTTCTCTTCATGTATGTTTAAAGTTAAACTTGAATCTAACATTTCCAAAACATTTTTCCTATTAAAATTGTTATCTTTAGTTTATATACTGAAACTACATATAATTTACCAAATTATAAGATATATGAAAATAACCATCATTTTGTCAGCTGAAGAAAAAGCTCTACCTCACATTATAGAAATACCTATTATGTGAGGTATTACTTTGTTTAGTATAAAACTAATATTAACCTTTTCTCTATAATCTGGATCTAAAGACATCATTTCTTTCAAAGTCTGCAAGACTTTAATACATAGTTTTTCCTCCTTTTCTTCAAGTAACCTTCTTGTGTGATGAATTAGTCTGAAAATATATTTTATAATATTATAATTCAAGACATTTAATGATTCAAAAAATATGAATAAAAATATTTCTATAAATTTTATGTATTGTAAATTTTTAAAATTCAAATAAAAGATTTTTTAAAAAGTTCTTGTATATCTCTAATTTTAAAATAATTAAAGTTTATAGTATTTTAAACTAAAAGTTTAAGCATTTATCACTCTTTTAAAATTTTAATTTAGTGTTATATTTGATTATTTTCTTCTAACATGTGATGAAAACTCAATTTTTATATTTAATTTCTGAAAAAGTATTAAAGGAAAACTAAGTATTTATATATTAACTAAAAATTTATTTTATAACATCATTATAAAAAGACAAAACTATTGTTAATAATCATAAGTTAAACTGTAATTTAAAAATTATAAATTTAGTTATTCTGTATCTGAAAAAAGAATTTTGAGAATATGATTATTTATTTATTTTTTCTATTAAACAAAAGATTCTGTAGATTCAATTTCTAATTTTAATTTATAAAATGAAATTAAAAATACAATTTAGATTTATATATATACTTAAGATTATTATAAATTAAACAGCCAATCCCTTTATTGGACTAATTAAATATTAATACTGAAAAAGATACATCATTGATCATATCCTGTTATAGTTCTGCCAATTAATATATTTTAATTTAGATAATTTTAAATGCTAAAAAATTCAATGGTTTTAGCCATAGGCAATAAACAGAATAAAATCATAATCTAAACTAATTACAGTAGAGCGTCGATTATCCGAATCAATTGGGGACTGTGGTTGTTTGGAAGATCGATGTTTCGGATAACCGATTATGTACGAAAAAATATATTAATTTATCCCATCTTGACATTTTTCTCCGTTGCGTGTCGCTTTGCGTTGAATTTTCGTTGATGTTAAACCTAACGAAGACTATTGTATCGTTAAAAATTATTTTTTTGTTTTGTACAAACAAAATAAATATATGGAAAAATATAAAAACAATAAAAAATTATACTTCAGAAGTTAATTTAGTATCAAAAACGTAAAATATTTGAATAGCCCTAAACATAGCCAAAGATTGCAGCGCCACAGCACTGGCAAAAATTTAAATTTGCCGACTGGAATTCTTTCGGATGATTGACTTTCGATTAATCGACTCTCTACTGTATAATACTTTCATTTTTTCCCTTAATTTTTAAAATTAAAATTTTCTTAAAATTAATTACTTTGAAATAAATCCACCATTTTCACATTTTTTTCTTGCTTCTGTTCCAGGTGGAAATAACAATTCAGGTCTGTGAAGGACATCAACCAAAACAGATAATTCTGACTGTACAAGAGGATGAAGTTGATCTTCTAAAAGAGACACAATATCCTAAAAATTTAACATTAAGAAAAATAAATAAATTGAAAATAACTGGAAATTTAAAATTTTAGATTTATTTATTTATCTTCTCTACCTGTAATCCTTCAATAATGCTACGGTCATTTTGAAATACATTTGATAAAGAAGGTTCTCTACGAGGGGTACGAGCAGCTGTTAACCATGTTCGAGCAGCTGAATGCTTAATTAAAGCATTTTTACTAAACATCGTTGTAACTTGTGTATCTAAATCAACTGGTATAGCAATACCTCTATTTTTGGCTGTTAAAAAAATTGAAATAAAGTTTAACAAATAAGTTAACTTTAACACACACACACACACACACACAAACACACAAACACAAACAAACAAGAATACTTATACCTATATCTGATAAAGACTTTATACAATTTTCAACATTCATCCTTTGTTGTAAACTTAACCAGGAGCAGTTGGATAAACGGAAAGTTCCTTGTAGAAGTCTTACAAATACTGGCTGATGAGTCTAATATAATTTTTGTTAATGACAAAGATAATTAATTTCATAAAATTTTAATTATTTTAATATATTAATCAATTTGAACATTGGGGACAACTATTCCATTTCTTTTTAAATTTTATTTGCCATTTATAAAAACTTATATTGACTAACTTAACAAAATTATAAAGTTAACAGTTCTCTTTTACTTAAAAATAATTTTATTGGCTTCAAAACAAGTTTAAGTGAAAGATTTTAAATTCAGTTAATTTCCCAATACTTGAAAAGAAAAGTAAGATATAGTTTGTCCCAATGCTCAAAACTGAATATTTATTTATTTTTAAATATAAAGTGTTTAAATTTTAAATGTTCTAATGAGTAGATAACTTTTAACTATGTCCAAGTACTAGTATACATTATATTTACTCACTTCATTCATCGTAATGTTGATATGTTCATCTTGGTTCCAAAAGGTGCGTGCATGCATCAGTTGTTTCTGCATTCCCATAGCCACAACAGATAAAGGAAAAGGAGCAAGCAAGTAAAAGCAGCTAAAGTCAAAGCATGCAAATACTTTGCAGTCATGCAATATTACCCATAATTAGAAGCTAATCTTATAACTGCCTTAAAGAACATTAGCATGCTAACTAATTAAACTTGTGCATATATATAATGATATATTTAACCTAAAATATTTATATATATAACAAAATATATGTAAATAGACATTACACAAAATACACAAACTACATAATACACATGTAACTACATGAATTCTGTATCACTAATAAATATAAATTATGATATAAAAGTTGTGATATATATAAATTACTAAATATATTAATGTAATAAACTTTATTTTAAATGTTTAGTTTTAAACATTTGTTCAGAGTATTACCATATACAACAACCCTGATTCAATTAATATCACCAAAAATCTGCCAGATTATTTATGCAGAGTAATTACCAAAAAAAATTATTGTAGTTTAAAAATCTACATTAAATTATTCATTTCAAATTAGAAATTTTGAAAAAAACAGGATCAATCTTAAAGATAATAAAAATTTTTATGATTAAAACTAATTACATATTTAAACATGACAAAGTTTTAAATACATAAAACTTTAAATTACCATTAAAAAAGAAGTTAAATCAGCAAGCATGCAATCTAAGGATTTTATTATTTTCATTTTAAATTATTTTGAGAGTCATATTAATTTAAAAGTTAACTGTTAATATATAAGAAGAAATGAAAACAAAAGAAGTTTTGTCTAGTTTGAAACTATATACAAACATTAAGAATTTTTACTTTGTACTACCTGAACAGTTGTACTCTGATCTGAAAATGGTGAATTGAAGAAGGTTGTGATAATATTCATGACAGAAGTTGTAATATATTCTTCAAGTTGAACATCAGCATGACGGCGATCAAGTAAAGAACTACATACCTATAATTTATTATTCAAAAATATATTTAATGTTTTACATTTAAAACATTAAAAATTTTATTAAAAAGATAGCATTTGTTTATTTCATTTTATGATAAATATTATATAATATTTATCATAAAATCACATTGTATAATAATATATTATGATATACAATACATAGGTAAAATGATCTTAAACGTTATTAATTAGTTATAGTAATAATTAATCAATGAAGATTTAAGACTATTTCTATAGTCTATAAATATATATTTTGTCAAATTACTATATTACTATGTTGTTGAATTTCTAGACAAATAAAATTTCAAACTGTATAATATGTTTCTGGATGAAAAATATTTCAATCATTGTTTTTCTTATTGGCTAAGCAGATACAATATTTAATTTGTTATTATGTTATTTTAGTAAAAAAGTTTAAAATACTGGGCATAATATGTATCATATTTATAGTGAATAATTATTAAGCTTCTAATCCCTTGTTTTGTTAAGTTCAATCTTTTATTATTAAATAATAATTATTTATTTATTTATTTTTGTTTCAAATTGGTAAAATTAATAATATAACAAAATACACAATTATGATAATATAAAAATATTTCTAATAAGGTCTTGAGAAATATTTTAATTTCGTTAATTAAAGACAGTTAATAATCTTCTGGTGCAGGAGCTCCTAACCTGATTACTAGAGACCAAGAGGATAATCAATTTATTTGAAGTGTTGATAAGTTATTATAGGTTATTTAGAACAGTGTTTCTCAAGCTTTTTCTCATCATAGAGTGATAAAATTATGGATAATTTTACATGGATCAGTAATTATAAATTATGCTTATATATGCTTATGTAGAGTTAATGTATGTAACAAAATTTACACAGTAACTTTAGATTAATATTTAAATGTCAACCATAATCAACTGTACAAGCATCAGTACAGTCAAATATTTTTCTGAAGATTGATGAAATTTTTTCACAGACAGACACCGGCCAATGGACTGGTGATTGGGAAATACTGATCTAGAGCAATGGTTGGCAACCGGTGGTCTGTGAGAAAATTTGAACATTGATCAACAGAAGGTTACGTGAAGTATTATGAAAGAAATGCAAAATGCTTAGTTACTTTTTTTCACTCATTGGGGGTTTCTATTCAAATCTAAAACCAAACATGAAGTGACTGTTATCAATAAATAATGAACAATAAACAATATTGTGAGTGCAATTTTCGCCCTTTGTGGAAAAGTGCTAAGAATCCATAAACTTGTTTCAAACAAGCAGCAATGAACTTTAAGATTGCATTAATTTGTTATAATAAAACACGCGAGTTTCATATTAATATAGTAAAATTGAACTTTTATGATCATTATTCTACAGATTTTGTATTGTTTAAAAAAATTCATGATAGTGGTCCGCAGGATTCAAAATTATGAGTTTAGTGGTCTATGAGGTCAGAAAGGTTGCTGACCGCTGATCTAGAAAATGATGGAAAAATTAATTTTTACTTTATTGAAAATTGTAATAAAAATAACAGCATATTTTAAAATTTGACATAGTTTTACATTTTAGTGAAGTAAAACATACAACTTTGAATTTTGATTTATGTTTAATAAAAAGTTATTATTAATTCTCATTTCATCCTATTTGTAACAGTTTAGAAGCTAATTAAATTATTATTTTATTTGCTTTATTCTTATTTTGTATTAGTGTAGAAATAAATAAAATGTTGCTAACAATTGTATCATTATATTTGTTTATTTCATTATCCATTAAAAACTTATTTTTAACACAACTGATCAACAAAATAACCTTAGTTTAATCTTAATATAATTAGTTCAATCTGTAAGCATTTTTTGTTTTTATCTATTTCATTTTTATTTGAAGCATCTTTATAAAAATACAAAATATATAAATGATGCAATAGAACAATAATTATTTTCATAATTTATAATGTTTTAGACTTATAAATCCTACTTATTGTTAAGTACTAAAATTGTATTATTAAAAGTAGTAGAGTAGTTATTAAAATTGGTAACTATTTGGATTTCTAATAAAAAAGTTTAAAATTGAATTACAAAATTTTTAAAATTATATATTTTCTGCATTATAGAAAATAAATTTACATTACATATATTAACTCACCATTGCCATATCCACAAGGAAATTATCAAATAATGTCCAAATGTGATTACTTGTATATATTTCTTTCATTTCTACTTCAGTATCAATAAAACAATGACTTAAAAAATTAATATATGCTTCCTTTACCTACAAGAATATTATGATATATCAGAATAAAAACAGCAAAATTATGATGTATAGCAAAATTAAGTTTAACCTTTTTTTTTTTTAAAGTTAAACTTAATTTTGCTATACATCACTGAAAATACAATACATTCAAATTAAAATAATTTAAAATTATAAATAAGATAGTATATAAGTTAATAGTTAATTAATAATTTTACTGAATTTTTCATATTTATCAACAGTATTTCTTGAAATAATTAACTTACTAAAAAAGAAAAAAACCCAAATCTTTAAAGAAAGTTTATATTTTTAAAATTTTAGTCATTACAAAATATATAATAAAACAAACCAAAAGATCAAATAATAATATCTCATATTAAATATAATTCCTCAAAGTTTAACGTTTCATCTATTTTATAATAGAGATCACCCAAGCTTCAATTAATTGCAGTTCCTCATTATCCAAAATGAACCCTTAAGTGAAAACACTGCTTTTCTTATACTGTAAAGTCATAAAAAAAAAGTTTAAAGTACTAACAATCCTTTACAAAATGATTTGTTTCTGTTATCTTTTATCATTTCACTTCAATGTGAGACAAATCATTCATATTAAAATACAGGTAGCCCTCAGTTTACGCCGCTTTGCAATTTGCCGTTTTGCAGTGTAATTCCCCGATTTTCTGCATGCTAGATTTGATCAATCCTAGAGAGACACGAGTCCACTACGACACCACGTATCATAGCAGAATCGTGGCTTGTTGGGATTAGTCAGATCTAGACCAATAGAGAACGTTTGATTTGAACGAGCTACGGACCCGACATAAAGCTAAGAACGGCGGACCCGCCATAGAGCTACAGTAGAGCGGAGACGCGGATTGGTCAAGCACCAGCCTGTTATAGCACATATATAGATCAGTTTCGGTGGGAAAGTTTGAGTTTGCTTTGGTCTCGCTAAGAAGAAGTCATTTCATCTTGCTAAAGCATAGGTGCTCTGGGTTTGGACAGCATTTATTGGACATCAATTAATTTTCAACTTGACTCCACATATACAAAAATAAAGGAGGTTTATTATGTCAGATAAATGAAGTGCACTAGAGTTAACTAAACATGTTAAGAAGGTGCAGCAATCAATCTCCTTAGAAACAAAAATGGAAGTTATTCGACAAATGGAAAATGGACAAACACGCCCTAATGTCTGTAGATCGTTGAACTTACCTCCATCGACTGTTACTACTATTATGAAAAATGCAGATAAAATTAAACACTCTGCTCATCAGTCTATGGCAGTAAATGTAAAACATGTAAGTTACAGTAGCGGTAAAATTTTTGAAAAAATGGAAAACTTGTTATCGTTATGGGTGGATGATGCAAATCAAAAAACATTCCCTTGACTCAAGCTGCTATAACTGAAAAAGCAAAATCAATTTTTGATAATCTTAAGGAGACAGATGGAGGCGAAGAAACCTTTTTGGGAAGCAAGGGTTGGTTTATGAGATTTAAATCCTGAAGTAACTGTCGTAGTGTAAAATTATGTGGTGAAGCAGTGAGTGCAGATGTTGCGGCGGCGGCTGCTTTTCCTAAGGAATTTCAGGATTATGTAGAACAAGGCAACTATTCTCCAGACCTAATCTTCAACGTTGATGAGACTGGGCTTTATTGGAAAAAGTTACCAGCACGAACTTTTATTTCTCGTGAAGAACGTTCCACTCCAGGTTTTAAAGCTGCGAAAGACAGATTAACTCTTTTGTTGGGAGCCAATGTTTCAGGAACTTTGAAATTTAAACCAATGTTAGTGTATCATTCACAGACACCACATGTGTTAAAGGGTCTAAATAAAGATATGTTGCCAGTTTATTGGAAATGGAACAAGAAAGCTTGGGTCACACAAGATATTTTTACAGATTGGTACACAAATTATTTTTGTCCTACTGTGCTTCGCTTTTGTGAAGAAAATAAATTACCACCCAAGGCACTTCTTCTCCTGGACAATGCTCCAGGACATCCTCAAAACCTTGATGAAGTAAAAACACCATTGGATGTCAAAGTAGTTTACATGCTTCCCAACACAACATCTCTTTTGCAACCAATGGATCAGGGAATTATTGCAACCTTCAAAGCTTATTATCTCTGTAATACATTCATGGAAATGATGAGAGTTTTAGACACTTCAGACAAAACAGTTAAAGATTATTGGCAATCTTTTGATATTTTGAAAGGCATTAAAAACATCAAGTCGGCTTGGGATGAAGTTTCATCAAAATGCTTAAATGGAGTTTGGCGTAAACTTCTACCAGCATTCATGAACGATTTTGAAGTAGTAACACATCAGGAGAATTTAATTGAAAACATTACCAGACTTGCATGTGATGTGGGATTGGAAGATGTTACAGTTAAAGATGTGACAGAACTTTTAGAAGTTCATGATCAGCCACTCTTGAATGAAGACTTAGAAGAATTATACAGAGAATTAAATTGTGAACAGTCAGAGAAGGAAGAAAATGAAGAAGAAACTCCAAGAGCTATGAAAATGGCCAATCTAAAGCGTATCCTTTCAACTATGGAAAGTTTGACAGATGAACTTTGTGAATTAGACAATAATTGGAAGTGAAGCGCAAATGTAAAAAGAAGTATTATTGCATCCATTCGACCATATTCCAAAATTCTTAATGAAAGAAATAAAAAATGTAAACAATTAAAGATGGATACTTTTTTCCGAAAAATGTAAGAAATTAGAAACTAAAATTTTTAAATAAAAACATTTTACTTTATTTTATGTTAAAATACATTTTAAAAATTAAATTTATATGTATTTTGTATTATATTGTATTAATAAACAAAATTATTAGCTTATTTTTCACTTATGTAGAACCTAACCCTATACCTCACTGTAAATATGGGTTCATTTTACGCCGATTCGATTTGCACTGGCTTTTGTAGGAACGGAACTGCGGCATAAACTGAGGGCTACCTGTACTATTTTCATAATAAAAAAGCAAAATGCACAAGAATGATGGTTTTTACCATAACATTTCTTTTGCATCATCATTTGTCTGCTCTGGTCATTGTCAATCCCCTTTGCCATCTGGTGGACTTCTTTAAACCTATTATCTTATCTATTTGGTTCAATATTTCAATTCCTGTAGTTTAAGTAGTAGTGTATATGCTTTGATTATATTGTCTTGACCAATTGTTTCTTATAATAATACTCTTATGTTATCAGATACTTATAAGGAATGAATTTATTTCCTTTGGATGAAATTAAACTTTTCTAAGTATTCCTATAGTATTTGTATATGTTTATTATTGTAGTACCATTATTTAAAAATAAAAATTAATTTTATGTTGTGCAATATCTACCTATATAAATTGAGTTCTTTCAGTTACTTTTCAGTTGTGCACATTTGCAAATGAGCCTTATTGGTGATAAAATGTCTAAAAGAAAGTCGCAATTGTTACAAAATAAAGCAGTGTCAAGGGCAAGCAAATTATGAGTTAAATGAATGTATAAAAAAAGCAATGTTTGTTTATTTGTTTATTTTTTACTTCAAGGTAATATCATAATGTAATGAACAAATTTTTAACATTCTTTCACCATTGGGAAGCTTATTACTTTCCACTGTACATAACCTACATTAAAAATTGGACCCTTCACTCCTTCCTGCTGATTCAGCTCCCCTACAAACTCTCAAATCCTTTGACTGATCTGGACCAAATTCCACATAGTTAGTCTCTGGTATGGGAAAGACTTGGACCCATCATTCCTTCTCTCTGATTTCATTCCCTAAACANTTTATATAACTGTACAAACTGATCCACAAAGGGGGCAAATCCAGTGTGGGGGTGTTGCAAGGCTTTAATACGTTGGTGATGAGGGCTTCCCAGATATATACAAGATTTTTGTGGTTGCAATGTTTTAATATTACCACATCATTCCACAGAGGGGTATGTTTGTGTTGTAGTACCATTCTGGCGAGTTCTGTGTCATTCCTGCCTTCTCTGATGGAACATTGATGCTCTGAAATGCGGTTAGCTAACATTCTGGTTGTTGCACCAATATAATGGGTGCGACCGCCTATATCATTCTCTAATGGGACTAAGCGCTCGTCAATTTAGTGACATAGGTGTCTAATTTAACGCTTATATGTTAAAAGTTTTTGTAAAACAAAGTAATAATTTTAAACTGCAATAAAAGATAATAATAATTAAATAAATTCTTACCTCAGGTAAGCAATCTGGATGGGTCACAACCCTGACTATATCATCCAAAGAAAGTAAAGAATGACATTTAATTTCTGTAAAAACATTTTTTCCTTCAGTACAACATGCGAGAAGCTTTACTAAATTTATATGATATTGTAACTGTCCAGCTTCATCCATTCTTTGCCTTTCTGATCTCATCATTTCCACAAGATGATTAAAAGATGCTTTATCATTATAAAATACCAAAACATCTTCACCAGAATTAACCATCTAAAAATAATAATAAAATATAATCAAAATTTTGATAATATATAGAAAAATTATAGTAAATTTCTATTTAAACTGATAAAGTTAAATAAATAATAAAATAATATAAACATATCATATATCTATTTTGAAAATGTTAATATAAATAATTTTATTAATTAAACTTACTTCTTGCATAACCATATCTTGACACTTGCGAATATACTGATTTTCTGCTTTGACTATTGTCTGTAGAAACCTTAAGTACTGAACATGACGGCCATGTGTTTCAATGCAATGAACAAAATGCTGAACAACTCTTTCATTGATTTCATTACATAAAGCAACATTGTTTGAAAAAATACTTCTCATTGTTTGAGCTTCTAATAACTGAAATTAAAAACAATATATATATATAAAAATATTATAAACAAGTTAAAAAATTAATAAGAAACTCAGAAATAATATAGATTTTTATAATCCGTACCATTTATAAACCTTTTCATTTACTTAAAAATTCTTAAGTCAAAATGAACTTTTACTTTATAAAATATTCAAAATACTTGAGAAGGAAATGAAGATCTTGAATAAAACTTTAAAAACTCATGTATCCAATTATAATAAAAATAATTTTATTAAACATGAAAGTGTATTCTGATCTCAGTTTAGAAATTATTTTTACTTTTAAGGATAAATATTTTCTTTTTATGAAAATAAATAAAAATCAATAAAACTCAAAGCATTTTCCACATATTTTAAATAGCCTACTATAATAACCAAATAATTGTAAATAAATAAGCTACATCAAAGAATGAAAGTTTAATACAGTGGAACCTCGGTATACGTCTGCTTTAGAATACGTCCAATTCGGAATACGTCCTGTTTGGACAAAACAAATTTTGCTTGATATACGATTTCTGTTCGGTATATGACTTAATTCAATTATATGCGCCATCTATGAACAAGTAGCACTATTGGTGTAATACACCAGACTAGACGTTCGTGGTGCTACAGTTTGTAACTTTGTTAAATTTCTTTTGATTTTAATTTGTAAGTAACATTTTATTATTTTTATGAATCATGAATTGCAAAAGGGCAACAGAAAAATAAAAAAGTGACTAGAATCACAACGGAACTGAAAAAAAGAGACTGTTGAGAAATATGAAGGTGGCATGCGTGTTCGAGATTTAACTGTTGCATTCCGTATTCCAAGAACGATATCGACAATCATGAAAAATAAAGACATTATTAAATTTGCTAATGTTGCGAAAGGGGTTAAATCAATTTCTAAACAGAGATCGAAGACATTAGATCATGTCGAGAAATTGCTTTTGCTTTGGATAACTGAAAAACAGTGTGCCGGCGACAGCATATCGGAAGAAATTATTTGCGAGAAAGTTGAAAGGATACATGCTGATCTCATGAAAAATCAAGCAGAAACTAGCCAGGAAAGCGAGGTGTTTAAAGCCAGCCATTTTTTTTACATGAGAACGGATTAATCATTTTTACATTACTTCTTATGGAAAAGGTTGGTTTGGTATACGTCCTATTCGGTATAAGTCCAAACACCAGGAACAGATTAAGGTTGTATACCGAGGTTCCACTGTATTTCTTAATGTTTACACAGGGTAATTCTCCTGAGACTGACCACTTATTATGTGGAATATCTGTATAAAATGAAAAGATAAGAATGAAACATGAACAGAAAGATTCTTCATTTTGCAATGAAGCATTTGACCAATGTACATTTTACACTAAATTTTATTCAAATGTGATTGTGCAATGTATTGAACAAAGTACTGTAAGTGTTCAGTCCCAAGTGAATCACCCTGCACAAATATGCAAGAAACTCCATCCTTGATCGTCTTCAGCAAATTAAATTGTAATGTTTTGCTTAGCAACATACTGCATTTTTTTGTAATTTAAAAAAGTGAAAATAATATTGCCTGTTTTATTTTTTCCCAATTTATTTTTTGTTACTTTAAAATATGCATATCATCTAAGATGTAAAAATTAAATGAAAAAAAAAACAAAATAATAATGCAATTACAAAAACATATACTTGAAAAGAATATGTTTTTGTCTAACAAAGTCTAAAGATTTAACAATTTTTGAACTATTGCACTGTTTGTATGTGATCTATAAAGTCAAAAGTAAAATAACTTAATACTATTAATAAATTTTTAAAAATAATATTCTTTAATATTATTACTTATCAACTTATCTCAAAAGAAAAAAAATTGAAATTTTTGAATGATAATTAACATGCTGATTCTATCTGTTTGAATATCAATTATTAATGGCTATTTTATGTAAAAGTTCTAATATTCTTCATGTCCTTTCCAATTTACTAGTTTGACTATTATTGAATAGAACAATNCCAAACAAAAATGTTGAAGAAACTCATGAGCCAATCTCATTAATTCATTCATTCGGTTATCTTCTTTCTAAATTAATAAATATAATAATAAGTTATTAATTAATACTTCCTTTACAAAATGAATACAATTATCTATAATTTTTAATAAATTTTAATTTATCATAATTATTTTTCAAACATATTCTATATAATAAAATATACTGTTTTCAAGAGACCAGAATGTAACAATGTAGTGAAATAAACTTTTAAAATTAAAAACAAAGTTTTTATCAGTGACAAAACAGAGAAAATTAAAAATAATAATTTTTATATATATCCAAACAAAAATATTATATCTTCTCTTGTATATGACTAATCTGAAAATAAGTAAAATTACTTTCGTGGCTGTTAAAGTAACAGAAGTTATACAAGAACTGTAATCAGATAAATTTTGACCCTCCAGGTTTTAGCATTCCTTGACATTTTAAGGCCTTTATTCCAAAAATAAGAACAAAAGTCTGTATATGTGTGTATGTTGGCCTATATTTTGTTTTATATCTCATGACCTCATGCACCAAAAAGTTTGAGATTTGGCAGGAATACTTCTATATAAGAAGCATTGATGCTATTAGATTTTAAAGATTATAAGTCAAAAAGAAGGAGAGATAATTTGTTCAGAAAATAATGCTTATATGATTGCTTACAATTTAAAACTGTTCATTGCATTTTAATTTTCAATATACTACTACTCCTATTTATTCTTATTATGTAGAGATATGTAGTCATGACACATTTGTGGTAATTCATAAAAAAATTTAAATAAAAAAGTGACTCTGCATTTTGTTCAACTTTTCCAATATAGAATCACTCTGTTTCTGTTTCTATAAAACAAGACTGATTCCATATTTTTAGATCATTCTATACAATGTATATTGACTTACTTTATCATATGGTATTTGTAATAGTTCTAAAACCACAGTATGTGCTCCCATATTTCGTAAAAGACGCTGTTCATGTTTCCTTGGCTTTTTTCCTGATCCTGGGCTATCTTGAACACAAAGATTAATGAGACGTAAAAGAATCTGAAAATATAATAATTTAAACAAAAATAATGTTTTCATTATTTATTTTACTATGATAATATTTTTTTTTACAAAATTTTAAATACAGTAATCTTTAACTATTTACTTCCAAGATTTTATAATTATAGTTTACAGTAAGAATGCTTTAAACTCAGTTATTTTTCTCATAAAAACAGCATGTCATGAAAAAATAATTTAACAAAAATAATACAATAATGTAATAAACTAAAGTAAATATAACTATTGATACTTTGACTCAAAATCTTTCATAAATAATAAAAATTCTATGCTGTGATGTCTGTTCAAAATGTATATAAAATGTTTCTTATAGTGAATGTTCCTCTCTGTTTGTTTCTTCAAGCAGATTTGTTGAGTAAGCAGGGCCAAAGATATTCAAAATGTTCTGTAAGATCGTAGGAAATACACCTCCTCACTCATTCAATTTAATATATACAATTTATTTACAGAAATATACAGTTTATCCTGGCACCACACTGTACCAATTAACACACAAACAATCAAGGATAGGCCAGAATAATTGGAGATTGTATGTCTCCTCGATAATTTCAGGACTATGGATAGACTCTGTATGCACTTTTCATCCAATTTCAATCTCACATGTACCTGAGCATTCTTTCCAGAGGAGCATAACCTCTCTCCCTATCCTCAGCCTGCTTGCCAAGTATCTGAGATCAGCCCTGAATCTTACCCTCCAACTCTTTTACTCAGATCTTTTCAATTTAAATCTTTTTTGGGAGTCAACTTCTGACCAATCAGAAATGCAGTTGTGTGGGAAGCTTTCTTCTACATCCATGCTGACCTAAATGTAGGTGGTCATCCTCCCAAATGCTTACTTATTTAATTGCTGCTGTTTTCATGCCATTGTAAATGGTTTTATGACCAGACTACACCTGGGTCTAATTTAACAAGCCATAAGATTGCTTTGTTTTTCTCCCAAATTAATATTTTACACTTATAATATACATTATTAATCACAGAGATTTGTAAAGACAATTTTAATATAGAACTGATGATGAATTTCCTACTTTCATTATAAAATAAACCTAATTTTACATTGAAAATATTTTATTGTATTTCATTTAGTAATTAGTTGAATTGAAAATGAACATATAACTATTTTAGATTTTACGGTTAATATACAAATAAAAATAAATTAAATAACTTTTAATTGCTCATGTATTATATAATAAAAAAATAAATCATAATATTTTCAGGAAAAAATTGATTTTTAATAGCTTTATAAAAAGATAATAGAATGATTTGTTTTTAAAAATTATAAAAATAAAATTGATTTTTTCTTGCTCATTCTTCTATTTTTAATTTAAGTTTACTTATATGTTTGTAAGTAAATATGTTAATTCAAAAATTTAATATAAAAAGTCAAATTATTTTACATTTACAATATATTAAAATTATAAAATAAAACAACTTAATTGTATTACTTACACCTGGATTTAAAAAAAGATCAATATGTTTATGCAACAAGGATTGATTTGCATGATTGCCCAAACAAAAATGTTGAAGAAACTCATGAGCCAATCTCATTAATTCATTCATTCGGTTATCTTCTTTCTAAATTAATAAATATAATAATAAGTTATTAATTAATACTTCCTTTACAAAATGAATACAATTATCTATAATTTTTAATAAATTTTAATTTATCATAATTATTTTTCAAACATATTCTATATAATAAAATATACTGTTTTCAAGAGACCAGAATGTAACAATGTAGTGAAATAAACTTTTAAAATTAAAAACAAAGTTTTTATCAGTGACAAAACAGAGAAAATTAAAAATAATAATTTTTATATATATCCAAACAAAAATATTATATCTTCTCTTGTATATGACTAATCTGAAAATAAGTAAAATTACTTTCGTGGCTGTTAAAGTAACAGAAGTTATACAAGAACTGTAATCAGATAAATTTTGACCCTCCAGGTTTTAGCATTCCTTGACATTTTAAGGCCTTTATTCCAAAAATAAGAACAAAAGTCTGTATATGTGTGTATGTTGGCCTATATTTTGTTTTATATCTCATGACCTCATGCACCAAAAAGTTTGAGATTTGGCAGGAATACTTCTATATAAGAAGCATTGATGCTATTAGATTTTAAAGATTATAAGTCAAAAAGAAGGAGAGATAATTTGTTCAGAAAATAATGCTTATATGATTGCTTACAATTTAAAACTGTTCATTGCATTTTAATTTTCAATATACTACTACTCCTATTTATTCTTATTATGTAGAGATATGTAGTCATGACACATTTGTGGTAATTCATAAAAAAATTTAAATAAAAAAGTGACTCTGCATTTTGTTCAACTTTTCCAATATAGAATCACTCTGTTTCTGTTTCTATAAAACAAGACTGATTCCATATTTTTAGATCATTCTATACAATGTATATTGACTTACTTTATCATATGGTATTTGTAATAGTTCTAAAACCACAGTATGTGCTCCCATATTTCGTAAAAGACGCTGTTCATGTTTCCTTGGCTTTTTTCCTGATCCTGGGCTATCTTGAACACAAAGATTAATGAGACGTAAAAGAATCTGAAAATATAATAATTTAAACAAAAATAATGTTTTCATTATTTATTTTACTATGATAATATTTTTTTTTACAAAATTTTAAATACAGTAATCTTTAACTATTTAGAATACAATTAATTAGAATAAATGTTAATGAAGACAAACCTGTTGAATAGTTTTGTAATTTTTACTTTGTGTTGCATCAATAGGAGGGCCTATATCCAAATCAATGGCAGATCCTTCACTCGCAGCAGGACCTAAATCCTAACATCCAACAGAACTACATTGAGCAGTCTGTTAGGAAATTTGCTTAAAAGTTGAAATTAAATTGCACTTGTGATAAAATGCATTCAAACCTTGATAAATGTCTTTTAATTAAAACATTTTGGGCATACTTAAATTTAAAATTTTAGCTATTGAAACTGAAACAATAAATTTATGGTAAATTTTTATATTTTAACTCATTGTTTATTTATCTGAATTTATCAAATAAAATATATTAATGCTATCATATAAAATAATTGCTAAGAATCAAATTTGAAACCTTTATGAAATTTTACTTTATATCTAAATTTATTCTTATTTAAAATTTATTAAAATATTTTATAATAAATAAATTAGATTTTGATAACTTATAGTTAATTTATTTCAAAATGAAAACCTTTTAATATTTATCTACTCAGGAAAATTACTATTCCTTTATGCCAGAACTATTATCAAAGAATAACTTTTGTAATAAGTTTTAATGATGCAATTTAAATTGTCAAAGACATAATTACACACAGTTAAAGTTGTTACATATATTCTACTTTTTCTAAATTTAATATTTTTGAAATATATTTTTGCATAGTATATTATATCTATATGTTAATATAATTTGACATATTTTATTAAATACAGTTAAACTTTTAAAATGAAATTAAGACATAACATTATTAAAATAACTAAAATTCATTACTATATAAATAAATAATCTATTCCTTCCTTTTTTTCTTTTCACTAAATTTCTTTAAGCTTTGTATAGTAATTCTTAAAAAATCTCTTAAACAAAACTGTTAATGAATATTGAAGTTTATCACACAATTGTTTTTATAAATAAAAGACAATTTAAAAAAGCATTGTTTTTAATAATAAATTAAATGAAATTAATTATATTTGTTAATGTTAATAAATTAACAAATGCAATATATACCTTCATAAAATTAAGTATATAATAAAACATTTGATTAACTGTGCACATTAGGTAAATGAAATATATGCTGAAGTCTAATATTTATTAATTAACATGTTAAATAATACTGTAGTAAATAATATTTCAAAAACTATTATAAAGTTAGTATGTAGCTTAAATAATTACAACTTATAAAATTTCATTCTAATATTTATTTTTATTTCATATCAATTAATTGTTTATGTATTAAGAATTCTTTATGTATTGCATAAAGAATTTAAGAAAATTTACAATTTAAAAAAAGCATAAGTATCATTCTGTTAATATTAATTATATTAATAAATTATTACTTCTAATTCTGTTAAAATAAACTCATTTATATAATGTGTTTTCATTATTCAAATTATACAGTTATTAATCAAATGCAGATAGTTATACAAGTATATTTTGAATAAATAAAAATTCTTAAAAAGATAATATCTAGTGATTACTAAACTCTAATATTCCTGATATATCTTGATATGTGTTTATATTTCAGATATATTATATTCTTATTCATAATACTTTATAATCACCAAATAAATGAATACACATACAACTTATATATAAAATCAATCTAAATTTAAAAAGAAATCAAAACTAAGTTAGGTTAATGTTTATATATATTTTTTTATAATTCTAGACTGAAGTTGAATATGTATTATTAAAAAATGAAAAATTTGCTTGTTGTTTGAAAGATGAAAGATTTGAAATTGTTTTCCACTCTAGTTTCTTAAGGGAATTTAATTGGTTTTTAGGTAATAATGAGACTTTTTGACTGGAAAAAAATCGACTGGAAAAAAATTGGTAGAAATTCCGGATTTCATAAATTTATTCATTAACCATTTACTATTGAGACCTTAGTGAATTTAGATTTTCATTACATTTTTAAAAAATGTAATGAAAATCCAAAATGTAAGAGGTTCTATAATTTAAAAAAAAAAAAGATTTATGTAAAAACTAAAATAATTATTTAATTTTGATAATTTAGTAAATAATAGAACTGGAAACATTATTATTGAAAAAAGAAAAAAATTAAGACAACAAATTTTTTTATATGTAAACAGTTTAATTGTAAGTAATATAAAATTTTGTAAAAATATCCCTTAGAATTTATAACTGTAACTTTTATGTAGTTTATTTATAGTACAACTAGAGGACCATACTAGTAATTTGGCCAAAATGCATATTGTAAAAAGAAGTATGCTATTGAGTGAAACATCTGTCTAAAAGCAATAATTGTCCACTAAGGTCTCAATAGTAAGTGGTTAACAAATAAATTGAAAACATCCCATAATCTCAACCACACTATTTTAGTATTTATATTAATTATCAAAATATTAAATTGGACTTAATTTAGAAGTAATTTTAGAATGTCCAATGAAAACTGCCTATCACTCTGGGTCTGTCAGAATTAAATTCTTCTTAAGAATGGTGATTGGAAAATTATCATGTTTATGTATTCAAAGATGCCAACTTTGTATATCATATAGTTCTTTCTTTATTTAAACCTTCTATCAATGCATGCACTTGAAAACTCACTATATTCTGATTTTTCTTATTTTAAACAAATATGTATAATTATTAATTATTTTTTTGTGTTTTACTCATTGTCATTCCTTTGTTTCTCTATATCTTGGGTTTATTGTTATGGGTGGAATATTTTTTGTCTTTCATGGAGTATGCCTATATAATTCTTGTAAAATAAACAAATAAGTAAATAAAGTTTCATCTTCCATTAACACATCTAAATCTTAAGTTTAAATTTATTATTCATGCTCCTTATATTATATATGAATAAAAATCTCAAACACCGCTTTTTAAAAATGAAAAATTTATTTAATCTAATGTTTTCAAGTGCTATTGAGTCTGTCATCAGGTTACACCATCTCAAAGAATGAGTTTAAGAGTGTTAAAAACTATTATATAAAATAAATTTGTTTTTGAGAGTAATGTTTATGACATTTTTATTTATGAGTTTGAAATTATTTAAGTTTAATAAAATAGATTAAAGTCTCAGTATTATTAAAGCTAGTTTATAGTCTAACTGCAGCAAGGAACTATATAGCTCAATATGGTAATTTGCTCTGCTATGGCTCCATTACATCATTTGATCTACACAAAATATAAATGTTATGATATCTGAAAATAAGCCATTCAAAATGAAGACAAATATATCAATAAAGAAAACTAATCATGTCAAAAATGGTACAAGTTTTCAATATAATATTTTGGTAATGCAGTATTCTGATATCATAGATATACAGATATTTCATATGTGATGCAAAAATTCACAATTAAAAATCACAATGTTGCTTAATTGTACAACTCTTATCTTATCCAATTAGTAGTAAGAATTCTTGTTCTTGCAAAACAGCTATAAAGTTAAATGATACTTAAACTTTCCAGTTTTTGGCCAATATCATACTGTGGTGAGTGAGCCATGTATCAAATTTAAAATACGGAAAAAACTAAATCATATTCATTCTTCTGTGTTGGCCAATCACCAAGAATAAAACAGTATTTCCTTTCTATAAACAATGCAGTGATCCTAGATAAGTTGTTTTCTATTTACAGTATTGCAACAAAACCCAGAAAATTTATTATTCAACACCAAGGCAAGAAATATGAACTTTCCATTACCAAACAGAAAACAAGTTCTGTGACAAGTTCATGGTTGGTGGTGCAATAACAGGCCAAGGCATACTACCATTAACAAAAGTTCCATCTCGTGTTAAGATTAATTCTGAATATTATACAGAAAAGGCTTTAAACTATTGTTGGAGCACTGTATCAAACTGCTTTATTTTCAAGATAAAGAGCCAAATAAGTTATTTGTCCATCATGATGTAATGACATTGCACGTTCCAAAAAGATACCAAAATACATAGTTGATATGAAGAGTAGAACTGGAATAACAGTGATTTCCAACTCGGCCATTTTTTTTAAAAAGTCCAGACACACTGTCTATGGATTAATTTGGGTTTGTTATCATAAGTAAAGGCTAAAACAAAGGAGGACAACAATAATCACATCAGTCTGGAAAATCATGCAAAGAGAGTGGGAATAGTATAAATATTGCATGAGGTATTTGAATCCTGGAAAAGAAGACTTAGAACTGTTAAGCAAATGAAAGGACAACATATTAAACATATTAAGGCAGTTCATAAGAGAAAATTGTAACTTTATGAATTTAATAAAAGCATCCAAATAAAACTGGAATAACAGTGTGTAATGTGATAATGTGATTTAAATTTCAAAAATTGTGTGTGCATCTATGAAAAACCAAATAATAATTATGACTCTATATTAATTGTATTAATGTTTTATTAATATTCAATAAAAAATTTTTCTTATTGCAAAAGTAAACTGAAAAAGTATGTTAATGCTTAAAATGATCATAGAACTTATTTAAAACACACTAAGTTTTTAAAAATTATAAAACAGATCTAATTTTATAAGATTTTAAATTATATATTATACTAAATTAATTTTTTTAAATTAATACATTTAATTGAAATACTTTTAGTCAAAGTTTAATTTGCAGATGTAAAATTTAAACAAATCCCTTTATTTTGCAGTAAATTATGCTTTAGAGATATATAATAAATACAGTACATTGAAATATTGAGTTCTAAATGAGTTATAGTATTAAAATAAAATTTAACTACTTGGATCAAAAGATTTTATGGTTTCAATACTTTTTAACCTTAAGGAATTGTTTTTGTATATCATATAATCAAATTTCAACATAATTTTAACAATTACATATATATACCATTTAAAACAATAGTAACTATATGTTGTTGAATGAATTATTTTTTAAATTTTAAAATGAAGTAAAATATATGTACAAATTTTTAAATAAGTTATATATTATACAAAGTAAGTTTAAAATTAAAATTATGAAGCACATTTTCAAACAAGGGGGGAAAAAAGAGAACTTTTAATAGAAATTACATATAAATTGTTAAAGAGCAGTCTTTGAATAAATAAATTAAAAAAAATCACATTAAATCTAATAAAGGTAAATTAACAAGGTTTGATTGTATTT